GGCAGGAGGACCGTTTAGACTTAGGAAGGATTGTTCAAGGTACTCTGATATATTATTTGGTTTTTATCCTTCACCTTCACTCATTTAAGCACTCATTAAATATGTCTGTAACAGTGTTTAGGGTGCCACTGAATGCACTTTATCATCAAGGAGGGCTGGTTGATTACAAGAAGGACCTCTCAGGAACACTAGCTAAACTCAAATGATACTGATTTCAAAACCAGAACCTCAACATGAGTTCATGTTGGGAAGCAAGTAGGGCTGATATGTCTTATTCATGTCATCTTCTTTCCCAGTATCAAAGTACTTGGGAAGTTGAATTATTAATCAGGAAGTTGCTAAGTGAGCATGGAATCAGAACAGGTGCTGATGAAATACCTTTACTCGAAATAGAGAACACCCCTCTACTGACTAGCCCCCAGATTGAGTTTTTCCCAGTGTTTCCCATAATTCAGCCACTTGAATACAAATACTATCTTTATGATAGTACTCCCCATTTTGCCATTCCTGCATACTACTATATTGTTTTTGTTTAAATGAGTAGAAATTTTAAAAAACTTTATTTACTTTAGCTTCATTCTAAACGACTGTATTTCTGAACTCCCATTTGGTATGTTATAGTTTTCTAATACATACTAAAATAAAAAATTAAATCAAAATTAAAAGTGGAATATATACCACACTTTGGTAAATATTGCTTTAGCTGTTATTAGAAAAATACAAAAAAATTGTCTCTTTAAACCTGGTTTGGTATTAAAACTGGTCTCTGTTGAATTTAAATTGATGTAGCATGATGGTATTTTGAAGATATTGTATCCCCTTCCACCTCTATTTTGTGTTGATATTATGTAGCTCCAACTTACAATATTTTTATTTCATCATTTTTTAAAAAATATTTTTTATTTTTTAGTTTTAGGTGAACACAATATCTTTATTTTATTTTTATGTGGTGCTGAGACTCAAACCCAGTGCCTCACGCAGGCTACGTGAGCGCGCTACCACTTGAGTCACATCCCTAGCCCCTTATTTCATCTTTAAATATATGATCATGTGCAGATTTTCAAATATTTATGGCACCTAAGAATAAGCATCTATTCTCCCCCATTGAGCTAATGCTTTTTTTTGAACTGCTAGTGGATTAAAATTTTTTTTTTTTTCAGTTTGGGAATTGACTCTAGGGACTCATGAATGTTAGGTAAGCACTCTACCTCTGAGCCACAACCCTACCTGTTAAAAAGAAATTTTATAAGCCTAGACATGGTGCTAGACACAGTCTACATCAATTTAGAAAACATTCAGACAACGTAGAGATAATACTAAAACATAAAAAGACTAAAGTATCAGTTTTCTTTATCTATATTAACTTGGAGAAATTAGTGCCTCTTTCTAAATTGTGAAGAGTCATAACTATAAGCTTTTGCCTTGAGAAAACTGTTGTCCTACCTAATTATATGGGACTTGGAGAATTTGGAGAAACTGTATTTGATTGGAGGCTCACCTTCCCTGCCTGCCAGCTGTCTAATGAAACTTTTGAGGGAGGAAACAAAGTTTTAAATTTCAGTTAATACTGTTATTCTTTTTTATTTTTATATTTTAATAGTACTAGGGATTGAACCCAGGGGTTCACACATTCTAGGCAAATACTGTACAACTGAGCTACATTCCCATCTCTTTAAAAACAAAACAAAACAAAAACAAAAACAAGTTTTTTCCCCCCAGTACTGGAAATGGACCCAGGGGAGATCTACCACTAAGTTACTTAAGTCCAGCTCTTTTTATTTTTATTTTGAGATATGGTCTCTGTTATTTGCCCAGGCTGGCAATCCTCCTGCCTCAACTTCCTGAGTAGTTGGGATTAAAAGTGTGCACTAATGGGTTTGGCTAGCACTGTCATTCTTTTTACTACCTTGAAACAGGATAATTTTACTTGTAGTACCTAACATAATGTCTGGCATACTATCCTTTTCATTTTTTTCCCACTTCCTTGAAACATGGGCTAATTTTATTTGAAGTACCCAAAATAATATCTGGCATACAGTAGGTACTCATTTAAAGTCCATTTAATAAGGAAATGGATTCTAGTGTTTTACTTATGTTGCAATGTATTACTACTACTAATTTAAGATCCTTCAGTGGGAACTGAAAATAGAATATATTGGTTTCATTTTCCTGGGACATACAGGAAGGAGCAAATGTTTACTGAAGCATGCTTGTTCTTTTTCACTTTTGAAATTTTTTTGTTCAACTTTTGAACTATATTATTTTTACCCAGTACTTATTTACCTTTTCCTCAATATTGAAATTCAATTCTCATCGTAATACACTTTTTAATAATCTGGGCTTGGTTTCACACATTTATGAAAATAAGGAACTTGAAAGCAACAAGAATTGTTGTGATACCTGAAAACGAAAAGAATTTGTTCCCTCTAAAAGGCAGAGAATGTTTGTTAAGTGTTTTAGATAATATGTTCATTTTAGAACATTTGTCCAAGTTTTATTTTATTTTAATTTTTTTTTTTGCAGTACTGGGAATTGAATCCAGGGGTGCTTTCCCATTAAGCTACATCCCCAGCCCTTCCCCTTTTATTTTTGAGATAGGGTCTTGCTAAGTTGCTCAAGCTGGCCAGGAACTTGTGATACTCCTGCCACAGCTTCTGAGTAGCCAGGCTTACAGCCATACTCTATCATGCCCAGCTCCAAGTTTTAAATGGCAGTTATATTAGAATATATTTTGGCTAGGTCTTTGTTGAATATGATCAATTCACCTTGTGAATAATCTGATAGTTAAGCGCTAACTAGATAAGTCCTTACATATTTTATACCTTTATTTCACTTATTTCTTTTTATGTGGTGCTGAGGATCGAACCCAGGGTTTCACCAGGGACTCGCACGTGCGAGGCGAGTGCTTTACCGCTGAGCCACCACCCCAGCCCCAATCCTTACATATTCTTAATGCTGAAACAATAGGTGGTTCTAGAGAGGAAAAGTTTAAAGCTGTGTCTGAGCCTAAGCACCTTATCCTTGATGCCTAAGTATGAGACTATATCGGGATTTATGTTCCTGAGTGAGATATCCAGGAATTTCTTCAAATATTCAGATAAAGAAAAGTGACAGAAATAAAAGCTAAGTTTATAACTATGCTTTTTGAACAACTTCATGTCATGTGCCTTGAAGGGATGGGAGAAATACTGAGGGGTTTTTCCTACTTTTTGAAGTAGGTAGAACGAGAATATTTAATTGATGAGAGCATTAAGTTTTGAAATAACCCTTGGCCATTGTTTTGGTCAGTGGCCCTAGGGATATAAAAAGGAGGACTGCAAATGGCCTTGATGAATGACCTACGCCAGCATCAATTCCATCCTTCCTTCTGGAGCAGAGGCTGTTTCCTTCTTACAAAGGTGAACCACCAACTTTATACGATAGGCTTTCTTTACAACACCCTGGGGTACCACCACAATGGAGCCTCATCCTCACCCTTCATACAGGGAGGAAAAGGGATACAACACTCTACTGGCCTCAGCCTTACACGGAGGCACTGGTTCCCCGGATGTGAAGCCATCACCTCAGAAATTGAGAACCAGAGAGGCCAACATCCAGGGACTGTGAGAGGCAAAAGGGGCGAGAAGTCTAAAAGGACTTGAAGGAGGGTGTTACTCTACCCCCCTTTTATTTTTATGTGAGAAAATGGAGGTGGACAGCTTTTGCTTGCAGAATTTGCACAGGTTAAATCTAGAGCCTCTCCAATATTGAGAATCCCACCCACAACGTGGAGACAGGGGACCCATGGCCAGCAGTGAGCCACAGGCCTAAAGAAATCCTCAACGAGTGTGTACCGAAGGTTCCTGCCACTGAAGCCCTAAACATGAGCAAATAGGGAACATACGGGCCTCAGGGAGAGGTGGGACTCTGCCCACCGTCAGAGCGCTGATTGGCTGGTGGCGCTCGTCGCTTGGTGCTATTTGTTGTTGGAGCTGCGCACCTGACGCAGAGTGCGTCTGCACGTGCAGCCGTTTAAGCGGCGACGGATCCTGTGAGGACCAGAGAGAGCTGGAAGCGGAGAGGTGAGTGGGTGTGGAGCTGACCTTGGGGTGCTTGCCTGGCCGTGGCCCAGGCCCTCTGGGGTTCTCGTCGCTGGGCCTTTGCCAAAGGAAGAGTGGGATGGGCCGGACAAGCATTTGAAGCTTTCTTTGGGAGCCTTTCCCTCTCCTGTCTTGAGTCTAAAACCCTGTGGGTGACCTGAGGCTTGAGGCCGGCAGAGGAGGTGAAGGGTCTTTTCCCCAGAGGTTACGCAGACTTTTCTCTGACAAAGATTGTTATAGGACTATTTGTGTACAGACATTCCTGGAGGAAAGTAGTTGTCCTGTGTTGGAGAGATTTAGTTCTAACCTTTCTGTTCCAGTATCCAAGGTCTTTCCCTAACCTCTCCATCCCAAGCAAACAAGAAACCTGTATCAGACTTCCTGTCTACCTTTGGAGGGGAGCGAAAGGAGAAAGCTTAGAAAGGCGGAAATCTTGAGTAGTATCTTTAAAAATTTCCATCCCCTTAGTATCCAACAAGCTCTTTGTGGGGAATACTTTGACAGAGAACCATTTTTTGGGACAGAGCCTAAGCATCACCGGCAACCTGGTGATTGCTAGAATGATTAGTTAAGTGGTTCATCTGGCTTTGAAATATAAAAAGGATGGCTATAAATGCAATCACTAGATAAGAAGCAATACCCAATTCTCCATTTTTTGCAAAATCCTTTTGGGAAGATTAGCACTTAGTTGAGCATTTCCAATAGCTATGTGTGAAACAATGATTGTTGATTGTTTATACTTTTTTTTTTTTTTTTTGGTGGGTGTGGATGTGCCGGGAATCAAACCCTGGGTCTCATTTGCTCTGTGAGGGAGTTATATCCCCAGACGGATAGTTTATGCTGTTAAAGACACAGTTCTTATCTAATGGAGGTCAAAGTGCTTTTTCCCCCCACAAAATAAAAATAGAACTTGAAGCCACCATGGGAGATGAAGATTGGGAAGCAGAAATCATCAAACCTCATGTGTCTTCCTATGTTCCTGTATTTGAAAAGGTAATAAAATTTAAAGTGTGCAGTTATTAAATGCTATGGATTTTTATCAAAATTGAAAAACTGGTGGGGAAGTTTTAAATTATAGACTATTTCAGTGTTTATCTCTGTGGTTGTTATAAACTATTTTATGGGGAATGAAAAAGAATGCCTGTGTAGAATTATGTATCTGATAATGTGACAATTAAAAGCTAAATTAGATGTGATATGAAGAACTTATTTACATCTCAGTGATTTAGGACTTACAGGTGAAAGCAAGCTTGTTCAAATTTGGTGGAATGTCTCTGAGGGACACTTACATGGAAAATTGGCAAAAGTTTGGTTCTGGATGATATTTTGAATTCTGAAAATTGGTTTTATGCAAGGAAGGCTCCTAAGATAAATATTTTAGGCTGATTCAAATGGTGCCATCAGTTTAATATATTACAGATCATCAGATCTTTTTCCTGTTTGGCATTTGCGAAATTGCATTGTAATTCAGAAGCAGTGGCGCTGGGTTAGATTTTTTGGGTTTCAGTTCTGACTTTTTAAAAATTTGTGGAATGAAACTTGATAATATAGTTTAAGGGATTGATTTTGCAGAAGTGTTACTTTGTTGACATTATCTCCAAAAGTTTTTATTCTCTTCAGAATTTCCTGCTTGTGTGTAAGACAATAAATTTTGATACTTTCTGATTTTAAGTGATGCCTTTGTGTAAATCCTTATTTTATATAAAAAATGCAGTTCTTTAAATTAACTGGAATTGATTCATATGTGGAGTTTGAATAGCAATACCCAAAATATTAATCTGATTTTGTCATGTTTCTTATCTTGGAAGTTATTTTAGAAATAACATCTTTTTGTTATCTTCTTATAGTCGTCTTTCATCATAAAAGCATAACCACATTTTGTGAAAAAAGGAGAAAAATCACCTAAAAATGTTGCTCTCTAGCATAGTTACTCCTATGAAAAGCTTCCCTCTGTCTTCCAAAATATGTTTTTATTAGAGTATATAACAATTTTTTTTTAAGTACTGAAATTGAACCCAGGGCCTGATGCATACTGGGCAAACTTGGTACCATTGAGCTACATCCCAGTCCTATCACAGTAATTTTTGAATCCAGCTTTTGTTTTTTTCACTCTTTACAGATTATTCCATATTACTAATTTCCTACAAATAATTTCTTATGCATACATAAGACCTATGGAAAGGATCTGTCATAATATGAATGATTTTTGTTGTGGGAATTTAAGATGGTGTTAGTTTTTTACTTTGACATTGTCATAAGTACCTATTAACTTATTTAATTTGGGAATTTTTTTTTCTCAAAAATAGAATTACTTGTTGGGTGTGGTGATGCACCCCTGTAATCCTAGTGGCTTGGGAGGCTAAGGCAGGGGGATTGCGAGTTCAAACCCAGCTTCAGCAAAAGCAAAGCACTAAGCAACTCAGTCAGATCCTTTCTCTAAATAAAATACAAAATAGGACTGGGGATGTGGTTCAGTGGTTGAGTGCCCCTGAGTTCAATCCCCAATAAATCCCCTCCTCCAAAAAAAAAAAAAAAAGGAATTATTTGGTCAGAGGATATTTTATGGCTCCCTTTTCACCCTCTTTTTCTTAATAGATTTGCTATAATACAAAGTTTAATATACAGATAGGCTCTTTTTCATCAGTCTAGTTTTATTTTTTTTAGTTTGAGATGTTTGTCTAAATGGAGCGCTCTTCAAACAGCACAGTGCACTGCAGTATGTTGTGCATATTTGTTGTATCAAGTTTCAGAAATTGAGGATTAGCTATTACATCTTGCAAGTTCACCTTTTTGGAGTCATTGTAGTATTCGTAACATACCTTGTATCATGACATTTGGAATACTAAATAGAATGTGAATTTATGTTGATAATTTCACCTTACAGTTCTTAATACATCTGTATGGGGCCAATTTATAGTAAATTTTTTACATTTGTCTGCAAACTTGACACCTGGTTCTGGTTGTGCAATTAGTAACTTCCTAGTTAACTTGAACATGATGCAGTCAGTAGCTTTGTTTTCCTTTCTTGTTTGATTAAGTGCAGAGAATAAGGATGTATAAATGACATTTTTATGGAGGAAAATTTGGAGGTCTTTTATTCCCTGCCATTTTTTTATTTAAGGCACCAATTTTTTAAAAAAATACTTTTTAGTTGTAGATGGACACTATACCTTTATTTTATTTATATGTGGTGCTGAGAATTGAACCCAGGGCCTCACACATGCTAGATCAGTGCTCTACGGCTGAGCGAGTCATATCCCAGCCCTAAGGCACCCCTTTGATTGGTCATTCTAAATAAGTTTTCATCTCAAAACTAGGTGGTGCTTTCCTTTTAAATTTATAGTGGCTTTTAAAAAATAGCATTGGATTAATATCAATTTAAGCGATATTTATCATCAGACTTTTATGAGTGCTTTGCAGGAGCTTTTTTTTTTTTTTCGAGATATGTTCATAAATGCTTGTAGTAATAGGGCACTGTTCTGGTAGCACTTAGAAAGACATGGTGGCACACACCTTGTAATACCAGAGATTCCTTAAGTTGAGGCAGGAGGAGTGCAAGTTTGAGGCCAGCCTGGGCAACTTAGTGAGACCCTGTTTCAAAATAAGAAAAGTTGGGGACGTAACTCCATGGTAGAGTGCCTCTGGATTCAGTCTCCAGTACCTGTCCTCTTTCTCTCACAGAAAAACTCCAAACTCCAAAATCTTGATTTTGAAGTGAGTACACAACCTGGGGGAATAGAAAAATGAAAGATATGAGTTATAAAAAATTTGGTAACTTAGCAGTTTTAAATTCCAGAAATCTCAGTGGTTGACATTTGTACATAGTATGCAGGCTTATTGGGATGAGTGTTAGAATGTATGGATATGGTGAGTGTATTAGATATTTAGTTTGCTTACTTATTATTAGCTGTTAGTGTTTTTTGTTAGGTGACCAGATGATTAAATGTAGTGATCATTACTATATTGAATAAATTTCCATTTTTGTGGTACATTTCAGAAGATAAAAACTTTTGTGATTAAAGTGGAAACAGTGTGAGATAATTGCTCCACAGTGGTAATTGTGTTAAGTAGCAGTAGCAAAGTTAGTAATAATTTAGAAAAGGAGCTTGCATATGACATTCCAGAATTGAAAAGGGTACAGGTGAAAAGAAATGTGTTCACTAAAATAGGATATTTTGTAGCTGCATAGGGGAGTTCTTATGTGTTAAAACATTTTGAAATTTAAATTTTTTATTTCAGTACTGGGGATTGAACCCAGGTTCTAGCACATGTTAGGCAAGTGCTCTCCCACTAAGCTACATCTCCGCCTCTTCACTAAGTTTTGTTTTGTGACAGGGTCTTGCTACATTTCTCAGGCTGAACTTGAATCTGTGATCCTTCTGTCTCAGTCTCCCAAGTAGCTGGAATTAAGGGTATACACCGCTATTCCTGGCTTGAAGTTTCTAAATTGGTTCACTTGGGTGATTTAAGAGGTTACAAATGATTTATAGCTAGGTGTCCTAAAAGTAAACCGACAAGCCTTCTGATCATTCAACATATATTTATTGAATTCTGTATGCTGAAGGTAGTGTTGAACATGATGAAATACTTGCTGTCAAAGACTTGTATTTTATTTGGGGAGATAGAATAAGCACATTTGTAAACCAGATAATTATGAATGATTAAAAAGTGCTATGGATGGGTCTGGGGTCGTGGCTCAGAGGTAAGCGTTAGAGCACTCATCTAGCATGTGCAAGGGACTGGATTCGATCCTCAGCACCACATAAAAATAAAAAAGTAAAGGCATTCTGTCCAACTACAACTAAAAAAAATTTTTTTTTTAAAAAAAAGCTATGGAAAAAATAAGGATTTTGAGTGTGTGTGTGTGTGTGTGTGGAGGGGGGGTTGGTTCAAGTGGAGAGAGGGAAGGCTTCCTTGACTCATGAATGGGAGATCTGAAACAGTCCCCAAAAGCCATCATTTACCAAGCTTCTGAGTCAGAGGAAGGAAACTTAGCATATTTGGATACCAAGAAAAATGTGAATGTGTTGAGTTCATGTGTCTGTGGCAGCAATTACCCCTAATTGGGTAATTTAAAACAATAGAAATTTATTCTCATATTGTTCCAGAAGTCAGAAGTTAGAAATCAAGGTTTGAGAAGGTCTATCTTCCATCTTGAAACTCTTGGAGAAAATCTTTTTCTCTTCTATCATCTGGTGGCTGTAAGAGGACATTGGCTTGTAGTTGCATTTCTTAGCTGTGTTCACATGGCCATTTCCTCTGTGTATTTGTATTATCTCCCTTTACCCCTTTCAAAGGACCCACTCAGATAAAACAGTGTAATCTCTTCATTTCAAAATCCTTAATCACATCTGTCATGACCCTTTTTCAGATAAGTAACACTTACAAAGTCCAGGAATTAGGATTATTTGTTAATGACCATTATACAATTTATTACAGCCAATATGACTAAAGCACAATGAAATAAGACAAGAGTAGTAGAAGTTGAATTCAGAGAAGGAAAGGGAAAAGGAGAGGAATTGGAGGTACTTGCATATAAAGACAAGTTCTTTTCTGTGCATAAGTGAATTTTCTTAGAGTGATTTCCATTTGAAAAATTTGGATATATTAACGATTTCATTTTATATAAACACAGTGGAAGTTTTAAAAATAAATTTCTTTATTGTTGAAAGTGTTAAGCCACTAATAGCCTTCTGACAATGTCAATGTAGTAGCCTAATGTTACATCACAATGCCTATGTTGCTCACTTTACTTCCTCTTATTACCTAAGCATTGTATCATTTCACATCATAAGAAGAGTGAGTACAGCCCAATAAGATATTTTGAGAGACCATATTATATAATTTTATTACATAATTATAATTATTCTTATTTTGTTAATATCTTATTGTGCCCAATTTATAAATTAAACTTTATCACAGGTATGTTTGTGTAGGAAAAAATATAGTGTGTCTGTATGAATCAGTGGTTTGATATCCATTGTTTCAGGCATCCACTAGAAGTCTTAGAATGCATTCTACTGGAAAAGGGGTTACTATTCTAATTTTCTATTTGTGAAATAGATGACATTCTTAATATGCAAAGTGAAAAACTGGTCTTTCCTCTTACAGGATAAATATTCTTCTGGAGCAAATGGAGACACTTTTAACAGGACTTCAGCTTCATCATCAGGTATGTGTTAAGGAAAAAAAGGCAAAACTCTTTAAGAATTTCATCTAGTGAATAAGGAGCAGACTGATAGACATATTTAAAATTTTTTTTCTAATATTTACTTTTTAGTTGTAGTTGGACACAACACCTTTATTTCACTTGTTTATCTTTGTATGTGATGCTGAGGATCAAACCCAGGGTCTCGCACGTGCGAGGCAAGCGCTCTACCGCTGAGCCACAACCCCAGCCCAGCATATTTTTAAAAATAAATTGTTAGTTGTTTATATGGTACTGAGGATCAAACTAGTGCCTCATGCGTCCTAGCTAGGCAAGTGCTCTCCCACTGCGCTACAACCCATCCCCCTGATAAGGGGATGTTTTTAAAATTTCCTAGTGAGAATTCATTATAATTTGGATACCTTGGGTTGGGGGCACTTCTAGCTAGAGTAAGGGAGAGAAGGGAAAGTGTAGTGTTAGTATAGTTAGTGGATTACTGTAAACCTTTGTTCAACCCGGAAGTTGCATGTTTGGCTTCTAGGTTGCTAGAGCATTGTCAGGATTCCTGACATAAGGAAGTATGATGTTGTATATTATATGTAAAGTTATTGAAGCAGATTCCAATGGTGGTGAATGGCCAGGGTAAGAACTATTCAAGCCACACATGTCATGCCATTAAGATATGAGTTTCTTTGAGATCAGAAAACTAATTTCGGATAAGTCCTAAGAAGAGAAATGAATGTCAAGATAAAGGAGCCCTATCCTTCCTGCTGCTCTCAATTACCTTCTCTGAACTTGTTTCCACCTGGGCTGCTCCCTCACACTGATGCATTCACCTTGATTGTCCAACACACATACTCTCTCTAATATAGAGTTGATGTGGATGGGAAGATGGGTTTAAGTGGGAGGGCTTAGTCTAGGAAGTTAAACTCATGACAGTAGTCTTTTGCTTTATCAAAGTTCAAAGCAGGCTGAAATGGATTGCTATTGTATTGAAAAAATTTTTTATTGTGGTTATTGCAATTTTGATCTTTTTTAAGTGTAACATTAAGTATATTCACGTTGCTGTGTAACTACCACCCTTCATCTACCTCCAGAACTTTTTCATCTTCCCAAACTGAAATTCTATACCCATTAAACAATAACTTGAAACCACCATTTTACTTTAAAAATATTTTTTTCATTGTAGATGGACACAATACCGTTATTTTATTTATTTATTTTTATGTGGTTCTGAGGATCAAACCTAGTGCCTGACATGTGCTAGGCAAGTGCTCTACCTGCTGAACTATAATCTCAGCCCCACCATTGTATTTTTTGTGAATTGAATTACTATGTGTTTGCTGTGAGTCTCTATGTATTTGAGTTAATATTTTCAGAAAGCTAGATTGAAATAACCACCAACTAAAAGCTGAGCTTTTGCTTAGTTCTGTGAATATTTAGACTAATGAAACAAAATCAATTACGTTTTCTTATTAAAGAATATATGAGGCAAATGAATGTATACTAAACTGATAGTTCAATATGTTTATTTCCCCCAAAAAAATAAGAAAGAAAATTATCTGAAATCCTGATTTTCATTTGTAGATTTAGCCACTGTTGACAGTCCTTTGATTTTTTTTTTTTTTTTTAGATCTCTCTATATATCCCGCAGAGATAATTGTATTCCACTGGCTTTACACATACTTCTTTTTATTATAAATATTTATCTTGTTTTTCCTTTGCCTACCTGCCCTTGCATTCCGTGCCCTTATGTTCTTAGAATTGTACTTGAAAATATTTCTCTACGTATTTCATAGAAATGGAATCTTATTATACCACATCTTTTACTTAATGATAGTCACAGAAAACTTTCTAAGCAACTATTATAATCTAATTCTTTCCAAAATTAAGTGAAAAAAGTTCATTATCTGGTTTTAAAATGTCAGAGCTTATAGGCCATGAAGTTACTTTTATATAGTAGTTCTTTTATAAAGTTACTACTTTATAGGTATGTATATGTCATTCACTTTTGAACCCCATAATATGGTTTCATTTCTTTTATCAACCCTCTGTTTTTTTGCTAGTTAACTCTTGTTTCGTTAGCTTGAAATTCTGTGTTCCTATTGCTAGTTCATTTCCAAACTCTCTACCAGAAGCACAAACAAATATCCATTTAGTTTATAACATATAATGTGATCTATCAATTTCCTTTTTTAATTGGAAAAGGATTTGAATACTCCATCCAGCTGTTTTAGTATAGACTGGCCTTTCTCTAGCTTTCTCCCATTCCATTTTCTCTGGATCGTATGTTTCTTCTGCCTTGAACCCTCCACCCCCCTCACTTTGCCTGAATTAATTTTTCTTCAGCTTTCAGAGAGAGGAAATTGAAAATGTCTTAACCTTCATGCTTCATTGATAGTATAAGGGAAGATTCTTAGCTTGGAAATAATTTTGAATCTTATTGTGTGAAATTCTAGTGATGGTGTTAAGTTTGATATTCTGAGTCCTGACCCTTTGTATATGCCTACTTTTAAAACATCTCTAGAGCTTTTAGTATCTTTTTTTGCCTATGTATACATAATAAACATTTTCAGACACGTCTATCATGTAACAGTTTATCAAAGCAGATTGTCAAGAATGTAATCCTATCATTATTTCTTCAAAAAATGCCAAATACAGTTAAGGTTTTTTGTTCTAGGCATTTTTGTTTAGCAGCTACATTGTTTAGAAAGTCTTTACACTAAGTGACCTTTCTTAAAGACATTGTGCAAGATAGTGAAAGTTTAATTCAATCTGCTTAGATGAGTGACATCTCAGAAAACAAAATTCTATGCTGTTATGAAATATCTCTCTCTACATACTTATTTTCTGTGATAATATTAATTTTGGCCAAATTGCATTTTTGTTGAGAAGTTGGGAGAATATAGATGGGCATACATTATGTGGCTCCTAAGTGCAAAATCAGTCAGATATATAAAATTATAGGAAATGAGGGAGAAAAAAGTCAGTAATAGCTAAGTGATATAAACGCCAGAAGGTAGGAGAAATTTTGAGATGCATATACAGAAATTTCAGTTTGTGAGTATAGGGTATTTTTTTAAAATCTGTTTATTGATTCTAAAACAACTATTGATTTGTCTCTTCTACCCCCCCCCCCCCAACCAAGTGCTAGGGTTGAGCCCAGGGTCTTACACATGCTAGGCAAGAGCTCTACCACTGAACTACATCCCAAGTAAATTTTTTAAATTTAGTTTTTAGTTGTAGATGGACACAATACCTTCATTTTATTATTTTTATGTGGTGTTGAGGATCCAACTCAGTGTCTCACACATGTGAGACAAGTGCTGTACCACTGAACTACAACCCCCGTCCCCCAAGTCACTTTTTATTTTGAGAGAGAATCTTGCCCAGTCTGACCTTGAGCTTGCCATCTTCCTGACTCAGCTTCCTAATTAGCTGGGATTACAGGAATGCACCACTGTGCCCAGCTGAGTTGTCATCTCTTACACCTGAGTTACTTTCTTATGTATTGAGTACTGTTGTGCTGAAGTCTGCTTTCACACATTGATTGAAGATGGAAACATGAGTGAGAACACCTTATCACCTTTTCTGTTGGTGTTTTTGTTTCACAAGTTGGGGACTACTAGGTTTGGTGTTTTTTTTTTTCTTTAAATCAGGGATCAAACCCAGGGGCACTTAACCATTGTGCCATATTGCTAGTCCTTTTTATTTCTTATTTTTAAATCTTGCTAAGTTGCTTGGGTGTCTCACCAAGTTGGGGAGGCTGGCTTTGAACCTGAGATCTTCCTGTCTCGGCCTCCTGAGCTTCTGGGATTATAGGAGTGCACCACCACACCTGGCTATTATATTTCTCTGAAATTATGGAAATATCATCCATTTGCAATGTTCAGTATGATAGCTACAAGCTACATTTGGCTGTTGAGGGTTTAAAATGTGTTATATATTTTATGATAATTAAATATTTATTTTTAATCTGTTATAAATTACCTTTTAAAAAAGGTATTTTAGGGCTGGTAGTTCAGTGGTAGAACTCTTACCTAGCATGTGTGAGGCACTGGATTCAATCCTGTAATTATGTTTATCTACAACTAAAAATTTTAAAAAAGGGTATTTAATATTAAAATACCCTTATATAACGGGATAAAACAAACTGTCTCATGATATTAAAGTGTTTTTTTTTTAGATGTAGATGGACACAGTACCTTTATTTATTTTTATGTGGTGCTGAGGATTGAACCCAGAGCCTCACTCGTGCTAAGGCAAGTACTCTACCAACGGAGCTACAGCCCCAGCCCTCTAGTAATATTTTATTCTTTCAATTTACTGTGGGGTCTGGTTAGCTAATATATTGAAATTTTGTATCTGTTAGTAATGGGGGCTTATAATTTTTTTCTGTTTTGTCATATCAGAGTTATTCTAGCCTTGTGAAATAAATTGGTGAATAGTATATTTTCTAGAAGATGTGTATGATATTGGATTGATTAGCTTTTTGCCAGTTTTATAGAACTCTCCTGTAAAACACTCTCTGGGCTTGATGTAGAAATTTAAAGTCTGATTGAATTTCCATAGGATAACCGTATGTGTATGTGTGTTTGCATTATTTCTTAAGTTAGTTTTGGTGAGTTAATTTTTGGAAACTTTTTTGTTTTTTTTTCTTTGGTTCTGGGATTGAACCCAGAATCTTGCACATGCTAGTCAAGCAGTTTACCACTGAGCTACATCCCCAGTCCTTTTTGTTTTTTATTTTGAGAGTGTCTTTGAGTTCCGAGGGTGGTCTCAAACTTATGATCCTTCTGCCTCAGCCTCCCAAGTAGTTGGAATTATGTGTGCTACCACACTTGGTGATTCTAAGTGTTTTAAACTTCCATTGTGATATATTTCTTTGAGTTATGAATTCTGTTGAAGTGCTTAAAAAATGTTACAATATTTATGAATTTTTTTCTGTTATGATTGATTTATAGAGTAAACTGGTTCTCTTATCAAACAATAGATTTTACCGAATGGTTGAAGGAAATGAATGAAGCATGGTGATCAGTTTGGTTTATTTGATTGTATGTTAGGAATTAGATTTCCAAGACATAATGATGTACATTACAACACTCTACTGTTGCACAAATGTCACTTCTGTTAGTGTTGCTATTATCAAACTAATTTTCTTCATCAGAATACCTTAAATTAAAGAAATACTGTTACATTAAAAAAGAAAAAATTTCAGCCAGGCATGGTGGTGCATGCCTGTAATCCCAGTCACTTGGGAGGCTGAGGCAGGAGGATTGAGAGATCGAAGCCAGCCTCAGCAATTTAGCCGGGGCCCTAAGAAACTGAGTGAGACTTGTCTCTAAATAAAACATAAAAAAGGGCTGGGGATGTGGCTCAGTGTTGGGTGCAATCCCTGGTACCCCCCCCCCCAAAAAAAAAAAAGAAGAAAAAAAATTTCAGATATAAAGGGATTCTAAGCCTTTTGTGTATATGGTATTAATTTTTGAAATTTGTTATGTTTGTGGCCCGCGTAGCAGGTTTTTAAAAATTTATTTATTTAATTATTCTATTTTGGTACTGGAGATTGAACTCAGGGACACATAACCACTGAGCCACATCTCCAGCCCTATTTGAATTTTATTTAGACACAGGGTCTCACTGAGTTCCTTAGCCCCTCAACATTGCTGAGGCTGGCTTTAAACTCCTAATCCTGGTGCCTCAGCCTCCTGAGCAGCTGGGAGTATAGGCATGCACCGCTTCGCCCCGCCCTAGGTTTTTAAATAAACATTCTGTTGTGGAAGAAAGTTCTGTAATGTTGAGTGCTACATATTTCTATGAAACTAATGTGCATAGCATTCTATGGATGACTAATTTCTTTCAATTTTGCTATTATCTGTGCTTATAAAAAACATCTTTAGCCAGGTGTGGTGGTACACATCTGTAACCTCAACTACTTGGGATGCTGAGGCAGGAGGATCACAAGTTCAAAGCCAGCCTCAGCAACTTATTGAGGCCCTAAACATCTTAGCGAGATCATGTTTCAAAATAAAAAATGGGCTGAGGATGTGACTCAGAGGTTAAGCACCCTTCAGTTCAATCCCTAGTACCAAACCAACTCAAACCAAGCAAAAACTCCCTTTGTATCTGTCTCTATTACTTCACATTAATGTACTTTAGAAAAGTATATACTTTTTAATTTAGAGTCAAGATTGATTGGTTCAGTTTACAGTCTAAATATAGTGTGTGATTTATATTTGTATCACGTGTGTCCTTGAATATTCTGGTTATATTAGCAAATTTAAAAGCACTGGGTATTAGCAAATTTAAAAACAGTCCTGTGGTTGAAAATTGCTATCTCCTCCTTCTGATTTTCAGTTTTGAATTATGAGTGAAATTTAGTCACCATTTTTTGTTCTTTTGGAGAGTTACCTATTCATATTTTTAGCCCATTTTTCTTCTAGACTCTTCATCATCTTTCTTATTGCTATATAAAATTCCTCTTTTGCTACATGTGGCACATTGAAGAGACTTACAGTTTGCATACTACTTGGATACTTATTGTTTGACTTCTTTCAAAATGTCATTTGCTTTAGAAATGGATGATGGACCTTCTCGAAGAGATCATTTCATGAGAAGTGGATTTGCCTCAGGGAGGAGTTTGGGAAACAGAGGTAAGATCTTTGTTTTTCTTTAATCTCCTGGACTTTTGGATAATGGAATGGCTTTCATAGCTGTTTGGTGCAAAGCTAAGTATTTTATAACTCCATGTATAGTAGTTTTTGTTGGGATAATGAGTTCATCATTTTTTGAAATGTAAATATTCTTTTTGCTGTTTTATTTCTTTGGGGGGTAGTAGGACATAATTAAATTGATTGGACAGATAGATTAGTTAACAGATTGGTTGGGCAGATGTTCCACATAGCTATCTCTTAATTTATGATTATTGATTTCTTATAATTAACATGGGAGGAATGTAAAAAGCTTTACAGATCCAGATGAGGAGGACTCTTTCTTGATATATATCATCTATATATATTTATTTATTTTTTTGTACCAGGGATTGAACCCAGGGGTGCTTAACCACCTTTTTAATTTTGAGACAGGGTCTCACTAGTTTGCTCAGGGCCTTGCTAAGTTACTGAGGGTGGTTGCACTTGCCATCCTCCTGCCTCAGCCTCCTGAGCTGGGATTACAGGCGTGAGTTTTGTATTTCTTAAGAAAAGGCATTATGGGAAACATTTCTATTAGTTCATTAGTATTAGGCTTATGAGGTTATTTTACCAAGCTTGGGTTCTTAAATTTTACTTTTAGAATTGCCAACATTTTATTTGACAGCTGGTAACACAGTGAGATACCTTCCTATAATCCGTTTTTTAAAACTTCATAGTAAAATGCTGAAAATGTTCTAAATCATTTTTTATAGTGCAATAACATAATTAGAAACTCAAAAATCTGTATGACTTTCTTGGCATGGTAGCTAATTCCTGTAATCTTAATGACTTGGGAGACTGAGGTAGGAGGATTGCAAGATTGAGGCCAGCCTGGGCAACTTAGCAAGACCCTGTCTCAAAATAAAAAAAGGGTTGGGGATGTAGCTCAGTGGTAGAGGACCACTGTGTTTAATTTCTGATACCAAAAAAAAAAAAAGAAAATTATTTATTTTAGGGGATTCCATAGCTAGGGCTATTTAGTACTTTTAAACATGCATAATACTTCTCCTTAAATTTATCTTTGAAAGATTTTATTATATTTCCAATTCCTTTTTCATCATTGGAATCTTAAAGTTAATATGTGTTATTTCATTTGACATTTGGAAAACATAGTTTCTATTTAGATACAATGAACACAAATTTGAATTTTATATTTGGATATGGTCCTTCTAGTTGACTTAATTTATATTTTAAATATGCATACATATCTTGCTTTTAAAGCTTACATGTCAAGGTATGCTGATTTGGATCATGTAATAATTGTCGCAAGAGGTTCAGATGTGGGCTTTGTTAACTATTACTAACAATAAAAATAATAAATACCTTAATAGTATACTTAAGAATATTTTAATATTTAATATTTTAATATGTTAATATATTTAGATAAGCTTTTCAAAAATTATAATTTTAAAATTTAGCTTATGTGATACTTTTTGATGTAGACTTCTGTTGTTGAATAGATCCCTTTTCAATGACAAAACCACCACTTAGATTTTATCACAAATCATTTTTATATATTTAAAGTTGAAATACACATTAAATCCTGATGAGAATTCTTCTGAATGTCAGTACTTTAAAAAGTTATTTTTATACTATATATACAATCAGAAATTCCTAGACCCACGAGTATTACTTCTTTTCCTTATAATTTGTCTGACATATTGCTTCAATCTCTGGTAATTTTTCTGAGTATAAGTTGTACATTTAGTAAAGTGTTTTTTCAAATTGTCTTAATTACCTAACATTCACTTTTCATGTTCTGTGGAGTATGGCTAAGCAGCTTTAAATTCTTTAATCACATACATCTTTAAGATCTGATGAAAATACTCAGTCGGACATATACAAGTTTGCACTGATTTTAGGAATTTCATAGAGTATTATAGAGATAGGTACAGTAATTTATAAGAATCTCAGGGAATAGATAAAATTTTCCCGGTGATATTTTAGAATGTCAGTTATGTTGTTTTGGAAGTTTCTAGTGGTTCTTCTTTCCTTCCTCTCTTTCTTTCTCAGTTTTTTTTATCTTCTATGCTCCTTGACATTGCATTTCTGCCCTTAAGTAGCTGTTGTTTTTGAGATGGGGTCTTACTATATTACTAAGACTGGTCTTAAATTGCTGGGCTCAAGTGATTCTCCTGCCTTAGTCTCCTGAGTAGCTGGAACTACATGTGTATGCCATGGTGCCTGGCCAAGATTTTTATGATTTAGTGGTACAGAAATATGTGAAAAGAAGTATTACTAAAAAGAGGTACAGATAGTTTATTATTGGGAATGTGGAGGAAGGATTATGACTGGAGTGCTGAAGGGCTTTACAGAAAAATTTATCTTCTGAAGGATGAAAAGAATTCTAGTAGGAAAACTAGGAAAGCAAGGAATACTATTCCAAAAGAATAGTAAAAAAATAGTATTCCAAATACTATTCATAGCATGTATGAAAGTACACAATACTAGAAGTTCACAGTGTGAAGTAGGAGAACTTATTTGGTGTGATTTAAAATGTTGGTTGTTCAGAATTATGTAGTGGGAAATAAAGCTACAAATGTTAATACAGGCAAATAGTAGTAAGACACAAGAAGATGTGAAGTTGAGTTGTATTTGAAAGCTGCTTTTCTTTAGTCCCTAATTTTAATTTTACTAGTATTAGTATTATTATTAATAAATAGAGCAGTTAAAAATCAGAATAAGAGTAAAAAGTTTTCAATAGCAATAACTCTCACAGGGACAGAGTATAACAACAAGGTCTGTCAAGGTGAACATTCAGCATATACAAAATCATGAAGTTTGTTTTCTGGTTAAAGGACTCCAGTAAAATAACAAATAGTAGAAAACCTGTATTTCACTAGCAGTAGATTTATGTTTGTATATTGGTTTTGTTATTTTTTTAAAAAGCTGCAATTAATTTTAAGTTCTTATACTGTTCTTTTCCTGTCCTTGAAAAATCCTTTTACCCCAAAGATTTATTTTATCCCCATTTTTTATTTTTTGTTTTTTCTGGGTGCAGCTGATAAACTTGACACAAGGCAAAAATCTTAGTACAGCCTGAATGAATTCTCATTCAATATCTGTATGTATAGTTAGTTGTATATGGTTTTTCTTAGTTTAAAGGGGTAACTACTGAGCCACATCACCAGCCACATCAGTGACAGGCTCTTGCTGATTTGCTTAGGGTCTCACTAAGTACTGAGGCTGGCTTTGACCGTGTTTACCCTCCTGCTTCAGTCTACTGAGTTACTGGGATTACAGGCATATGCCAACACTGATGTGTTTAATTCTATGTTAAACAGTTTGTCTAAACTTTTCAGATGCTGGCGAGTCTAATAAAAGAGAGAATATGCCCACAGTGGGCAGTTTTAGAGTTGGAAAAGGTTTTGGAAACAGAGGTAGGTATTTGCTTCTGATACCTTAATAATAAAAACTTGAGTTAATCTCAAAATTTTCAGTTTTTTGGTTCATAATTCCCTCTAATATACATAGAAAGTATTTGTCTTTTTCAAGAATTTATGAGGATCACAAGGAAGTGAGTGCTTTTACTTTTCTAGTTGTAGTTTAAAATAGCAGTTTGTGCTGCTTTGGATGTTTATGCATTTTTTTTAACTGTTTCCTGCTCCCCCAAACAGCCATGTTCCTTGCTGCAACTTCTCTTCAGATGGATTCACCCTACTCATGAATCCCAGTTCTTTAATACTCGCCATCCTCTACCAAGAAATCCATCTTAGACGATTCTGAGTACCCATTTTTAGTTGAGCCAGTAACCAGTAGTTTGAAATTATATTTTTTCCTTAAGAACTTAAAAAAATTATAATTCAGACAGAATTTATGATCAAATCTAATAATGTGTAGGTGGGAGACTTTCCCAAGATTTGGGAAACTTAGCACTGACTTTTCTTAGAGGAAGAATGAGGAGGGAGCAGCACTTGTAGAAGGCTTTAGAATATAGTCTTTTCTCAAGCATCTTCAAACACTGCAAATATTTAGATGAATGAAATAATTCAAATTAGATTTTGTGGAACTATATTCTTTCTCTAGAGATTATCTTTATATATTTTAAGATAATATATCTGTTCCAGGAAAAATTCTTCTGTTATTCAATCATATAGCAAGGTTATAGGGTACCTGTTTTTTTATATACTAGCTTTGTATTAAATTTTTATGGAATTTTCTTGCTGGAATGGACCTTAGATTCTGTTTAGTAATGTTAAGAGATGTTAAGTGAGGGGCTGGGATTGTGACTCAGCAGTAGAGTGCTTGCCTCACACGTGTGAGACCCTGGGTTTGATCCTCAGTACCACATAAAAATAAGTAAGTGAAATAAAAGTATTGTGTCGAACTACAACAACAACAACATCATCATCATCATCATCATCATCATCATCATCATCATAAAAGAGAGATGTTAAGTGGCTACACACACACACACACACACAATTTTGTGTGTAAGTTGGGTAGCTATCTAAATAGTAATTAGTTAGTCCTTGTATTAATGGAAGCCCAAATGTAACATACTTAAGTATTTTTTTCATTTACATACCAATTGGCAGGCATTCCATATTGACATTTAATTTTAAAGGTATGTATCTTTTTTTTTTTTTTTTTTTACTTTTTTTGAGAATGGGGGTTATGGTATGTTGCCCAGGCTGGTCTCAATCTCATAGGCTCCAGTGATCAGCCTATTATAGCATTAGCCTCTCAAGTAGCTGAGACTGTAGGCCTGAACCATCATGCCTGACTCCCTGAGTATCTTTGCATTAAAGGTAATTTTATTAAGATTCAACATTTTTTAGTTTTATGGAAGATTATGGATGAATTTTCCTTAAATTAATTTTAAAGACAGTCTTTTATGCTCCAGAGATGTATAAATCTTAGACATAGGTGTTTATGAAATGACAAATTTGAAAGCAGATCTTGATGAAAGACGTTGTTGTTGTTAAATTGTAAACTAGAAAAATTAACAGGATTTCCATGTTACTGAGAAGGGAAAAATTATCATGCATTGGATTATAATTTAGTTGTCTTTTGGTAGATGAAGAAATTGTGAGTTAATTTGTAAAATTTAAATTTTTTTGTATTTTGTTTTTGTTTTTTTTTTTAATTTTTTATTGTGGGTTGTTCAAAACATTACAAATTTCTTGACATATCATATTCCACACTTTGATTCAAGTGGGTTATGAACTCCCACCTTCACCCCATACACAGATTGCAGAATCACATCAGTTACACATCCATTGATTTACAAATTGCCATACTAGTATCTGTTGTGCTCCGCTGCCTTTCCCATCCTCCACCCTCCCCCCTCCACCCCCTCTCCCCTCCCCTCCCCTCCCCTCCTCTCTAGTTGTTATATTGTTACCCTTGTCTTGCCATGTACACACTGAGGAATATAGGACATTTGGTGAAACATAAAATTGGCTTTAAAAAAAAAAGATGTTTTTGACCTTAAGATAATGGATCTGATAAACTTGACACTAGGCAAAAATCTTAGTACAGCCTGAATGAATTTTCATTCAATATCTATATGTATAGTTAGTTGTATATAGTTTATCTTAGTTTAAAGGGGTACCATAACTCGTCTCTGCAAAGGTGATATTTTTAAAGCATAGAAGTATAGGAAATTGCTTTCAAAAGTTTGCAAGTTTCATTTTATATTGTGTTTAGGTTTTTCAAATAACAAATTTGAAGAAGGTAATAGCTCTGGTTTCTGGAAAGGTAAGTTCATTGTTTTTGTAGTAACTTCAAAAAGTGTTAACATTAAGAGCACATGCTAAAGAGAAATTAAGTATTTTAATCTGGACCAGATGTAATTTGTTTAAAGCCAGTTTTTATTTATGAAGCAGCTATATCTGTGGATCTTGCCAAAGAATTATTGGTTTGTATAAAGAATTCAGGCCTCCTAATTTGGCCTGTTGCCACCTGCCTCAGTAAATCTGAGAGTACAACTTTTGAATGCTGTGCTACCTTTAGAAAAAAAATGGGATAGTAGAAAGAGCAAATTCAGAATTACAGTTACTCTCCATATATAAATACAGTTTGGGACCATTTACACTTAAGTCTGTGAGAGAGATTCGTGAATCACTGCTGAAGTTAAAAAAACATTTTTGTCAAAGGTACTGACATTCTGGTTTGGGAGAATAGAATAATGTTATCAGAATATAGACATAATGAACATTGCTTTCCTAAAAATGATTGTGAATATTTGGGTGAGGCTTTGGAACTTGTGTTTAAAAGCATCCCTCATGATTATGATATATCCTTTATTTGATAACCACTGTGTAGAATCTTTATAGCATAATACACTTTGGAGTAATTTGCTACTTGCTAATTGAATGATGGTAGAATAAATTGCTTAATCTTTCTAAAGTCATAGTATTATATTCTGTAGAATGAAGACCATCACCCATTTTATAGGTTGTTAGGCAGATTAAGTAAGAATTCATGTGAAAGAAAAGACAAAACTCAGTATCAGATACATTTGTGGTTGTCTTGTTTTTCTTCATTAAATGTTTGAAGCTTAGGCTAGAAATATAGTTCAGTGGTAGAGTGCTTGTCTAATAGAAATAAAGCCTTGGATTTGGTCCCTAGTACCAAAGTGGGGAGAATAAAGTTTGAGGCTTGATCTTACTAAACTCTTTGATTCCCAAAATCAAAGACTAGACCTGATTACTTAAAAACTCTTTTGAAATGAGGTTGTATTTTAATATCCCAAACCATTCCCAGTCTCGTTCTCTTTGCTCTTTTCCTTTCCTGTTTAAATGAAAACATACATAACAGAACTAGTATTTATTAGAGAAAAAAATCACCATGTTTTTCTTTACTGTTTCTACTGTTTCTATTCTAACCTCCCAACTTTTAACCCACTGAATGTTTATGATTATTTCCACTTATCCCAAGACCATTCAGTTATCCCAGTTCACTCCTTCCTAGAGATGGTAGGCCAAAGAACTTATGAGCACATATTCCAGTTTCTCCCAGACTTTTCTCCATAGTGGTTCACTTTCTTCTGTTTTCATTCTTAGTTACCCTAAAAGAAAAAATAATATAAATAGTTCATATTCTTTTGTTTCTAAAAGTTTTGACAAACTCAGGAGGAGATCATGGTAGAAGTTTTTACTTGTATATACATAGTGTTTTTTTGGCTGTTTTTTCCCCCTGTTGTCTAGTTTTCCTGGGCTGGTATAATGTAGTGATAAGAAGTTCAGGTTTTAGAGTTGGAAACCCTAGATATGAGACCCAGATCCATCTCCTGACAGTTGTATTACCTTGGAAAAAGCAATGAACCTTTTTTAAAATTTCATTTTCTTTAGAATTATACTTCATAAGGTTTTTGTGAGAATTTAAAACATTGATACAGTGCTAGGATTTAGCTCAGTGGTACAGTGCTTGCTTAGCATGTGTGAGATCCTGGGTTTGATCCTCAGCTCTGGGAAAAAGAAAAATTAATACAAAACAACAGATGTAGTGGCAGGAGGATTGTTTGAGCCCAGGAGTTCAAGGCTAGCCTAGATACCATAGCCAAGACCCTGCCTAAAAAATTAAATGTTAAAATTAAAATTTAATTAATTAATACAAATAGGTACATTTAGAACAACGCTATATATATATTAAGTTCTATTGGGTTATTGTTTTTATATTATATGATAGATTATAACTAATTTCGCATTCATTATCTCATTTTCTTTGCTTTATCTTCTAGCTCTATAGAGATTTTTTTTCTTTTCATATAATAACTTTATTTTGAAATAGTTTGATTCACAAAAAGTTGCCAAAATAGTACGGAGAGTTTTCATATATCCTTTATCCAACTTCTCTGAAGGTCATTATTCTGTTTCACTTCCCAGGGTAGTCAAAATAATAGGGATATAAATTGGGATATAATTGGTCAAAGAATGTATGTAGGACTCCTTTATTCTTGCCAGATTCCAAATTAATCAGTATCATTTTTTCTTTAAGGCAACAAATGTTATTTATCATCATTATTTTAGGGCCAACCTTTCTTCTAAAATTCTTCATTTTCTGCTTAGCTCCCTTACATTAAATCTTTTCCAAGAAGTTGTCTTGTTAGATGACTCTTTAGGAACACTTGTCATTTGTCTACCACAGCTCAAATAGCCTGTAACTAGACCTCTCAGTTATTATTTTTGGTAAAATTAAAACATTAAATAGATAGTGCTTTTACACAGGAATTTTGCTGATAGCCTACAAACTGTTTGGTTACTTTATATCATTGCTATTAAAGTTTTTAGTTATTAAACATTAATTACATGTACAAAGATCTCTTTTTCTTTCTTTTTTTGGGGGGTATCAGGGATTAAACCCAATGGTGCTTAACCACTGAGCCACATCCCCAGGGTCTCAATGAGTTACTTTGGACCTCACCAGCTTGCTCAACTCAGGATCCTCCTGCTTTAGCCTCCCGAGCCGCTGTGATTATAGGTTCCTGGCTACAAAGATCTCTTGAAACCATAGCTAGTTCTCAAAGTGACTTTGTTGGAATCTTTAGGAAAGCTTAAAGTTATATAAGTAACATAGAACTTTTAAATTTTGAAAAATAACTCATATCTTATTGTCACTCTACTTTTTTTGGAATAAACTCTAGGAATGGGGCCTGTGCATTTATGTCTGACTAATTCTCCAGGTAACTCCTAGGGGAGCCTCATTCCATTGTTAAAATGCATCCCCCGCTTTTTAAAAAATTTTCTTCTTTTTTTTTTTTTTAGTTGTTGATAGATATTTATTTTCTTTATTTTTATGTGGTGCTGAGGATCCAATCCAGTGCCTCACACATGCTAGGCCAGTGTTCTACCACCGAGCCACAACCCCAGACCCTAAAAATCCTGTTTTAATGTTACTTAATAATGTTGTTTTAAATAGAAAAGCCAGGATGTCCTTAAATTATTTCGTTAGGATGAATGAGAAGTGGGATATATATATAATAAATCATCAGTTTCTCAGTTATTAAAAACAGTAAATGAGAGAAAAATAAGATCATAAATAAAACAGTCATGTATTTCTAGTGGTCTGTGGTTCACATTTGAGAGTCACTTGATAACTGTTTAGATAACTGTTATGAAATTTTTATTTTGGGGCTTGTTTTTAGTAGGATAATACTTGGAAAATAGTGGGTTTTCAATTATATACTTAATGAATAATATTTAGAAACATTAGACATTTTCCGTTATTAAAATGTTTCAAGAATTAAAATGTAACTTTCCATTGTTAAAATTATTTCAAGAGGGGCCGGGGTTGTAGCTCAGTGGTAGAGCACTTGCCTAGCATGCATGAAGCATTGGGTTTGATCCCTGGCACCACATAAAAATAAAAACAAATAAAATAAAGGTATTGTGTCCATCTACAAGTAAAAAAAGAATATTAGAAAAATTATTTCAAGAAATTAAAATGTTTTATGAAAATGTTTTGTTTTCATACTAATTTATCTGTGACAGTGTTATTTAGATATTATGTTTCTAAAGGAAATTATTTGGATGCTATTCACATGTTTAATTTTTATTCAAGAGTCTACTAATGACTGTGAAGATAATCAAACACGGAACAGAGGGTTTTCCAAGAGAGGCGGTAAGGACAGTGTTTTGGAACAATTTAGACAGGGATACTAAACTGATAAAACTGATTTTTTAGAGAAGTTGAAAAAGAAAAATTCTGGTGGTGAAACCCTTTAAGAAAAATACCTTGGTGCATATGTTTTGAGCATTTAATAATACTTAAGAGAATATTCAGTAGGTGCCCCTTTTTCCACTTTCTAACATCACTAGATATTTTTTCCCCTGAGATTTCAAGAATGTGTTATAAATTACAGAACAGGGATGTTGTGAAATTTCTATCATGGTTAAGATGGAATAGGGGATGTGTTTGTCTTTGAATAGAGTCGCTGGATATTTGGAAGAGAGAAGAAATTTTAGATTAGTTTTTGTTCAAGTATAGCAATATTCCACCTTATTCTACTAATTCTACTTTTAATGAATTTGAAATGAAATCGTATAACAATTATCATACTTAATTTTCAGTTATATATGGAGATATGTTGACAAAAGAACAACAAAACCCATAAAACCCATAGTGAAGTTACTGTAAAATTGCTACAGATGTGTTGATCTATGATTAAAGGGCCCTCTGTTTGGGACAACATAGTAGTTAGATGCATCAGTGTTTTGCTGCAACTTGGGAACATTGTTTTTCCCATTACATGGTTAGCTGGCTGAATGGTAGACTTTCCCTAGTGAAGTTAGCACTGGATTTCAGAATGAGGGAAGGCTGTTTTCTGAATTGAATCTTAGCCCTTTTTAAAATTTTTCATTTTGAGATAGGACTTGCTGAGTTGCTTAGGGTGGAGCAGAAGTTTAAGGAAAAAACAGACCCATCTTTTTGAAATTCTTTTTTTTGAAAGCAATTTTTGACATTAATGAAAAATACTGCCTAGATTTTAAAATTTCTGATTGTTTACAGAGAACAGTGAATAGCTTACATTTATTTTAACTAAATTAGTATGATTCATATTTAAGTGAGGCAGTCAAAAACCATTTTTAAATGTGTGTGCTTGATTATGACTTAAAGACCAGTGTAGAGTGATTAGCAGGGACATAGTCATTTTACAGGGTATTTCTGATTCCCATTCACTGTAGACATATATGAGAAGGGTATTAAGTTAGCATATAGTGATCCCTTAGTAAATGCATGGTTATTGTGAAGCATGGCATGACACAGGTACACATATTAAAAGCATATAATGCAGTAATTTTTTTGTAAATAAATCACACCTAATGTTCACCAGCATCTAGGTCAGGGAATGGAAATTACTAGCACACAGAAGTCCCCTTTCATGCTTATTTTCACTTACAACACCTCACCTGAAGGTTTACCTTTATTATTTAAAAAAATTTTAAATTTATTCTTTTTATTTAGTTGTCAATTTATATGTGGTGCTGAGAATCAAACCCAGAGCCTCTCACATGCTAGGCAAGCACTCTACCTCTGAGCCACAACCCCAGCCCGGTTTACATCTTTTATGACTTCTTTGCAGTGTAGATTAATTTTGTCTGTTTTTATATCAGTATAAAGGGAATCATACAGTATATACTGTTTAGTGTCTGGCTTTCACTTAAGATCCATTGATCTTGTGAGATCCACTGATATTATTGGTTACAATTTTAGATCATTATCATTGCTGTATAGTATTGTCTGTTTCAACTATTCTAATGATGAATATTTGGATTACTTCTAGTTTTGTGCTATTACAAAAGTATTTCTAGTATTTTGATGACTTTTGGTATATACTCAGAAGTAGAATTGGTATATCATTTGATATAATCAACTTATTCATTTTTAGGAAAAAAAACTTGGTTTGGACTACTGTAATAAAATATTTCAAATAGGGCAATTTATAAGTGACATAAATTTATTTCTCACAGTTTGGTAGGCTGAGAAGTCTAAGATCTAGGCACCAGCAGATTTGATGCCTGGTGAGGACTCATTTCCTGTGTTCATAGATTGTGCATTCTCATTCTCTATGTCTTTGCATGATGAAAGGGACACAATGGCTCTTTGGGGCTTTTTTTTTTTTTTTTTTAAAGAACATTAATCCTGTTCATAAGGGCTGAGCCCTCAAGACCTAATCACTTCTCTAATGTCCCCTACCTTCTGTCTCATCACCTTGGGAATTAGGATTTGAATGTGAATTTTGGAGGGACGCAGCCATTCAAACCTTAGTAAAAACTTAATGGCATTTTTTTGGGGGGATTGCATTGAATCTGTAGATTAATTTGAGGAGAATTAGTTTTTTTGCTATTGTCTGTCTTTCAGTCTGTGAATTTACCCATTTATTTAGGTTTTCTAACCATATTTTGCAGTTTTCACTGCTGAGTCCTCATACATGTTCCTATACTTGAGTTTTTGATATTTTGTGATGCATATAATTTTTATTGAGCTAACACTTCATGTAACATTAAGCATTTTTAATTAAAAAATTTATATATTTTTAGTTGTAGCTGGACACAATATATTTATTTATTTTTATGTAGTGCTGAGGATCGAACCCAGTGCCTCTCACATGCTGGGTAAGCACTCTACTGCTGAGCCACAACCCTAGCCCCTAACATTCACCATTTTAAAGTGTACACCTCAATGGTTTTAAATACATTCATTCTGTTGTGAAACTATTTTCACTATTTCCAGAACATTTTTTTCTCCCCCAAAAGAAATCTTATACAGGTTAGCGCTTAATCCCATTTGCCCCTCTCCCCATATCTTCTAGTCTATTCCTGTGGCTTTTCTGATTCTAGATATTTCATGTAGATGAAATAATTCAGTATGTGGTCTTGTGTGTCTGGCACACACGTTTGCTTGGCATAATATTTTGAAGATTTATCCATGGTGAAGTAGATGATAATATTTATTCTTTTTAATGGTTGAATAATATTCCTGTATGGATATATCACATTTTGTTTATTCTTCAGTGAAGAAATTTGGGTTGCTTCCATGACTAATATTGCTATAAACATTTATGTACAAGTTTTTATATGAACACATGGTAACTTTTGTGTTTAACTTTTTAATGGAAAAATTCAATTGTTCCAGCAATTCAAATTGTTTTCCATAGCAGTTGCATCATTTTACATTCCCTCTCTCAATGTATGAGGGTTCCAGTTTTTCCACACCCTTACCAATACTAATTGTGGTGGTTATGATTTGCTTTTTATGGTGACTGTAATGTGGAACAGTTTTCCAGTGTGTTTATTGGACATTTGTGAATCTTTGGAGAAATGCCTGTTCAGATCATTTTAACAATTGGGTAATTTTATTTTTTTTGGTGTTCTGAGATTATGTACATATTCTCAATATGAGTGTCATCAGATACATGGTTTGCAGATATTTTCTCTCCTTTTGGGTTGTCTTCATCATCTTGTTGTATTTTCTGAAGCCCAGAAGTTGACATTCTTTGCAGTCTAACTTATCTTTTTTTTTTCTTTCCCTTTTGTTGCTTGTGCTTTGAGGTGTTATCTAGAAACTGTTGCCTAATCTGAGGAGTCAGATTTTTGCCTATGTTTCTTTCCAAAATTTTGTAGTTGTAACTCTTATCTTTGATCCATTTTGAGTTCATTTTCATTTATAGTGTGAAGTTGGATGTGATTATTTTGCCTGTGGATATCCAGTATTCTCAGCATCATTTGTTGCTCTTATATAGATGTCTAGGTGCCAATCTGTTTTGGTTTATCTTCCTTTGAGTTGAGCTTCTTGGGTATGTAGATTGATATAATTAGATTTGGAAAAATTTTAGTTGTTGTTTTTGTGAAACCATAATAGAATCTTGCCATTTAACTATTTTAAAGTATACAGTTTGTGACATTAAGTACATTCAAGTGTGTGCAACCATTACCACTTTCATCACCCAAAGAGAAACTCTGTATCCGGTAGGCAGTTAACTCCCCATACCCAATCTCTGGTAGCCTCTATTCTACATTCTTATAAAATTTGCTTGTTCTAGATATTTCTTACAAGTGGAATTATACATTATTTGTCCTGTTGTGTATAACGTATTTCATTTAGTTCCATATTTTCAATGTTTATTCAGGTTGTTGCATGTATCAGAGTTACATTCCTTTTTATGATGAAATAATATTACATTTTACATCTTTACCATATTTTGTTTATCCATTCATCTGTTGATGGACACTTGCATTGTTTTCTGTTTTCGGTCATTGAGAAAATAATATTGAACATTCATCTATTTGAATCCCTGTTTTTAAGTCTTTTGGTTATGTAACTTAGAGGTGGAGTTGTCAAGAAATGGGACCAGGGTAAGTTAAAATGCTACAAAATTTCCTTTTTCTCCCCCCCTAAATGTTCCCTGAATTGTTGCAAACCTTTGATTCATTATTAGAGTTGGAAAAAATTCCAAAATTTTTGTTCATTTTTTTCTTGCCTTTTTGGAGTAGTCAAAATCTGGAGTTGCTTTGTTCATTGATGTTAGTAGTGGTGCATATTACACCACATTTTTCCATTTTATTTGTTTGATAGTGTATAAAAACAATTGAATTTTATATATCACAGGTTTATATATTGACCTCATTAAATAAATTTATGGTAAGTACTTTTCTTAAATATGTTCATATTTCTTTTAACCAGACATTTTTTTTCTGAAGATTGTTACCAAACATCTTCTGGAATTATAAGAGATTGTCAGTGCTCCCTTATAAAATGCAGAATACAGCCTGGGGTTGTGGCTCAGTGGTAGAGTGCTTGCCTAGCATGTGTGAAGCACTGGGTTTGATTCTCAGTACCACATACAAATAAATAAAATAAAGGTCCATCAACAACTTAAGAGTATACCTCCAGAAGGACTCCTGTTACTTTAAAAATATGTTAAGGTCTTATGGGGGTGTAACAGTGATAGATTATCTACCTGGCATGTAGGAGGCTCTGGGTTTGATCTGCAGCACTGCTCCTCCAACAATTGGTGTTATTTTATGAAAATGGCATTAAAAGTGGTTAATTTAAAAATATTTCAATGATGCAGAATGGTAAAGAATATTTTATTACAAACATTTTGTATGTTACTACCCAGATTTAAAAAATGTTATGTCATATTTTTTTCAAAGCCATTAAAAATTAGAATTGTTAGCCTAAAGGATGGTTTAACTTTACATTTTATGTTGATATCTTCCCAGATATAATGTATTTTGATACATATTATATATACTTCCTATCTGTATTTTTATAGAAGGTTAAAAATACGCCTATGTTTTATGACATCTTTATTCATAATTTTTCAGATTTTTGTGTTGAAAGTGTGGCTGTAGTTCATTTATTTTTTGGGGTACAGGGGATTGAACTCAGGGGCACTTGGCCACTGAGCCACATCTACAGCCCTATTTTATATTTTATTTAGAGACAGGGTCTCACTGAGTTGTTTAGCATCTCACCTTTGCTGAGGCTGGCTTTGAATTTGTGATCTGCCTGCCTCAGCCTCCCAAGCTGATGGGAGGCATGGGCCATCTCACCTTGCCTAGTTCATTTATTTTTAACTTTGTATCTTATTCTTTCTTTCATCCTATTTATTTCAACAAGGATAATTTTTAAGATTATATAGGATACAGGGAGTTTCTGCCTTCCCTGAAAACAAGGCTGTGCAGAATTGATTCTATGTAATACTCATGTTGTTTTCATCTCTAGTTATTAGTCTTATTATATAACTCAGAATAGGCTTCAACTCTGAAGGGAAAGAGCATATTTCTTTAAATGTGTGAGTTTTTTCTCTATGGGGGTTATTAATATATATATATGAAAGATGCTGAGGCATTACACAGGCTAAGACAGGGAAGGTAGATTTAAAAGGACTCATTTTGTATTTACAAAAAAGAGTAGTGATTAAAATAAAAAACAGTGCATGGGTTGGACAGATTAAACAGATGAATATTCAAATCAAAAGAGTTGAGGAAATTTCTAACTTGTAAATGGAAAATGTGAAAGTACTTAACAAATATGGAAGATAAAATATAAATTGTTCAACCTAAGTGGTTTTCATTTTATTACATTTTAAAATTTTATATGTATATTTTATACTCTTACAAAGTAACTTATACCTTAAAAAACAGAATCCAGAATATAAACTTTTTTTTTTTTTTAATTCAGATATACCCTGACAAGCTTTCTTAAAAGATAATGGGAGCTGAGGTTGTGGCTCACTGGTAGAGTCTTGCCTGGCATGCGTGAGGCACTGGGTTGAATCCCTAGCACTACATAAAAATAAACAAATAAATAAATGTATTGTGTCTATCTACAACTAAAATAATAATAATAATAATGGCACAGGGCTGGGGTTGTGGCCCAGTGGTAGAGCACTTGCCTCACGCATGGGAGGCATTGAGTTTGATCCTCAGCACCACATAAAATAAATAAATAAATAAAAATAAAGGCATTGTGTTTATCTACAACTTAAAAAAAATTAAAAACTATAATAGCACAAATAAGTAATTTAGAATATAAAAGCAACTTGATATACACTGTTGACAGATTGAGGAGTGTAAGGTTTGGGTGATGCAGAACTGTGAATCTACTTTTAATTATTTCTGTCATTTTTAAATAGGCTATTAAAACATGCACAATCTGCTGTCAATAAGTAGCATGTGTAGGACTTACACTTTTATTGAGCATCCTCTTTAGGTGTAAATAGTTGCAAATGCATAAACTAAACATTTTCAATTTCTTTATTTCCTGTCTAGTTGACACTTTGGTTTAGAATTGATCAGGTTTTGCCTTAGGTAGAATCAAATTTTACTTGAACTGTTCACTAGTTCTGTTGGTTTTTAGTTGAATTAAAAATGAATTGCTTAACAGGAATTGAGATTTTATATGTGTCTACTTGTCTGTACTTTGATTAAGGTATTTGCTGTCTATTGGGAGTAAATATAAGCCTATGATTAACTAATCCTTTTGTAGGGTGTAGAAGTTCAGTTAATGGTTCATTTGTGGCAACTTTCAGTGTTTTAAGTGACAAGTTTTTCTTTTACTCATATTTAGTTTTGTTCCTCAAAGCCAGCAGTGGGTTTTTCTCTTCATAGCCATATCTATTTATATTAGTAAAGTTTTTACATTTATGATCAATTCTGGCTTTTCTTTTTTTCTTTTTCTTCCATTCATGTCTTAAAGAGTATTTACTTAATGCTATTGAATTATGCAAAACAAATCTGGTCATCATGTCCCCAAGATTTCTTTGTTATTATTGTTTTGTGTTGTTCTTGTGTGTGTGTGTGTTTTAATATTATAGGCTATCAAGATGGAAATGATTCGGAAGCTTCAGGGCCATCCAGAAGAGGTGGAAGAGGTAGTTTCCGAGGTTGCCGTGGAGGATTTGGTTTAGGAAGACCAAGTTAGTAGTGGATTGCAAATGGTGTGATTCATCTGTTAAGAAGGAAATGATTTTTTAAAAAATCACATAAAGTTGTTATAAGGATTAAATGAAAATATTTTAGCACAGTGGCTTATATAAATTAATCACCCATATCATATAACATCATTTTTAGATACAATTACATATTGGTTAAATTGGAATATATGAATTTTTTCAGAAGTTTTATGTGACTTAGTTTTTTAGTATTGCATTTTATTAAGTTTTTTAGGGCCTTGGTAATATGGCTTACCTTTTCAGTAGGTGGCCTTCTGTATGGCTGTACACTTCAACATGTGTGGCTTCAACCAATGTGGCTTTTTACTTTAAAATTCCTCCAGCCATAATTTCTTGAGCTAAGGTGCTCTCTTCATAAATGACTGTTGGAATACATGTGTCTCCTAATAGAAGATTATAGATTAGTGGTTTTGGAAGCTAAAAACATCAAATATTTGCAATTATGATTTAATAAATGTGAAGCAGATTAGTAAATTGTCCTACTTTTTAAACAAAACAAACAAAAAACAAGCAAAAGGTCTGTACAGGGCTGGTTAAGATTAGATTTGGCAACGGTGGGAGTAGGGATGCTGTGCTGGAGAATAAGCAGTGAAATGATGCAGTGTCAAGTTTCTGAGGGCACTAACAGCGCTACTTTTGGCAGGAGATTTATCTTTTGCTTATATTTTGAGATGGCATTGGCCCTAACTTATTTTATAAAAAAGTTTAAAATGTTTTCAAAACAGTAATTTGTAATTGAAGGATATAATTTATAGAGAAATTCTTTCTGTAATACTTTGAAAAATACTCATTTTGATTCTTGTTAAACTATTTTAGCCCATATATTTTAATTTCTGATACCATAACTTGACCCTTTTTCTCTTTACTAAATGATTAAAAACTTCTTAAAAGTAATATAATTATATTTTCTCCAAATCAAGGTAATGAATATGACCAAGATGAGGGGACACAGAGGGCTGGTAGCCTTTTTGGTTCTAGAAGACCAGCATTAAGTGGTGCAGGTAAGAAATAAAACATATTACTCAATACTAATCATATATGCCCTTAGCACTATGATTAGTAAATATAATATACATATTTATACTAGGTTGGTTCCTGATTTTCTCTGTTTTAGATCTTTAGGCAAAAATACATGAATCATTTTGCCTTCCCTATAAAATATGTGCACTGTAAATTATTTCTTTTACATTTTATTAAAAGATTTATTTCTTGTAATTTGAAATGTGAATTATACCTTGATGTTTGGCTTGGTTTCAAAAAAAAGTTTTTAAGTTAGGGGAAAATAATTTGTGTGATTTGAAGAAAAAAATGAAAAGAATTATTGATGAAAATGTTCATATGAAAGTAAGGTTTAAATTCAGTCTAGAGAAAAGAGGGTTAAGGGATGGGGAACCCTAAGTAGTTACAGTGTATTGAACAGAAATAGCAATATAGTGGATGTGCTTGAGTGGGAGCTGTATTTTCTCTAAAAATTCTTCAAAACAATGCCTTACAGGTAATGGTGACACTTACCAAAGCAAAAGTGGCAGTGGAAGTGGTCGAGGTAGGTTCTTATTTGGTTTACCTGACAAAAGTTAAAATTTTTGTAATCTAAATTTAAGTTTTGGTTTAAAGTAACTATTAATACTTCTGTACACTGTGAAGAGTATAAATTTACAAAGCCTGTACTGGAGAGTTCCTTAATATGTATAGGATATTTTCTTTCTGATTTAGCAATTCCTGATATAGGACTTAAGTACTATAGATATGTTTATAAATACTCATACAAGGACATTCATTGAGTCTTCATTTATACTAAGTAAAAACAGAAAATCACCCAAAATTCATCAATAAATAATTGTTGAAATATAACTATAAGATAGGGTATTGTGCAGATGTTAAATATTCAGATATATTCATATATATAAATCATTATTAAAATATGCTTTTCTTATGGAATAAATATTTTATTTGGTCTAAGGGGTAGAGTTGGTGTATACAATTTCTTATGCTGAAGATTTTTTTTCAGGGTATAGTTATGTAAATGTCATATAAAAATAAAAATGGTTTTCAGATTAATAAATCAATAAAACTTGTTTAATGTATTGAAAGATTATCAGTAGTCATTATTAGTCTGAGAGCAAAGTGACCCCTCTACCAGCCTCTTGGATTCTTCAATGTAGAAAGAGATCTTCCACAAATATACCCATCTTATGTGAAGGAAAGACCTTACACAAGACTGTGGACATAAAGAAAAAGGAAATAGAGAGCTCATATGTTTTTTTTTTTTTTTAAGTCATAGCTGATTAGCTTTTGAATCTAATGCAGTCATAATACCTAAAAGTGGCACAGGAGATGAGTAGTTAACTAAAAATCAGGAAGGTCACTTACAGAAAAGAATTAATAAGCCTGACTGCTCTTTAAAATCCATCAATTTGTGAAACTGTCTTGCTTACAAGGTTGTTTTTTGGCACATGTTGATTAATTAGGGTTCTTCAGAGAGACAGAACCAACAAGAGATGGATGTATGGATGAGAATTTATTAGGGGGATTGGTTCTTGTGATTATTGGAAATAGAGAAGTGGCCACCTCCAAGCTGATAATGTGACTCAGTCCAAGTCAAAAAGCCTCAGAATTTGGGTGGGGGGCTTCTGATGCAAATCCTGGAGCCCAAAGGCTGGAGAACCTAGACTTCTGATAACTAGGGGTAGAAGAAGGGTGGCCATATTTAGCCTTTCCTTTGCTTTTTTGTTCTTTCTGGGCCCTCTGCAAATTGGATGGTGCCTGACCACTTTGGCTGAACGGAGAATCTTTCTCTGTGTCACTTATTTAGATGCCAGTTTATTCTAGAAACACTGTTATAGTCATACCCAGAAACAGCACAATGTAGCATAGTCTCATCTGTATAAAATCACGATCTTTTTTTAAATATATTTTTTAGTTGTCATTGGAACTTTATTTATATGCAGTATTGAGAATGAACCCAGTGCCTCACACATGCTAGGCAAGCACTCTACCACTGAGGTACAACCCCAGCCCCTAAAATCAGCATCTTGAATACTAAGAAAACATAAAATGTATAATGTGCTTTATTACTGAACCCCAATATTTTATTTCACTTTTTTGTTATTATTATTACTGAGGATTGAACTCCAGGGCACTCGGCCACTGAGCCACATCCCCCAGCCCTATTTTGTATTTTATTTAGAGACAGGGTCTTATGAGTTGCTTAGCACCTTGCTTTTGATGAGGTGGCTTTGAACTTGTGATCCTCCTGCCTCAGCCTTCGGAGCTGCTGGTATTACAGGCATGTGCTTAATATTTTATTTCTCTTAATTGTCTCTAGTGATATTTGTGAGAAGGGGCTTTATAGATACCTGTTCATTTTCAGAATTTGTCCTTTTTGTGGACAAGCACTGAAAGTAAAGATGCACATAGCTTTCCATCTTGACCAGTTGTCACTATTAATTTCTTTAACAGGTGGTTACAAAGGTTTAAATGAAGAAGTAATAACAGGCTCTGGAAAGAGTAAGTGTTATTTTAGATAAAGTATTTGATTTTAGGGCTGGGTGATGTGGCTCAAGCGGTAGCGCACTCGCCTGACATGCATGCAGCCCGTGTTTGATCCTCAGCACCACATATAAACAAAGCTGTTGTGTCCGCCAAGAACTAAAAAATAAATATTAAAAAAATTCTCTCTCTCTCTCTCTTTAAAAAAAAGTATTTGATTTTATAGTGAGATTTCTTTTATCTCCAAGTTTTTAAAAGTATTTATCTCTCTTTTTATTTGATCCCTTAAGATTCTTGGAAGTCAGAAGCTGAAGGAGGAGAAAGTGGTGACATTCAAGGTATATTGATATTTGTGTGATCTGTACAAATGTAAAATGTTTAAAAGAGTCAAATTTTTAAAATTCTAACAGTGGAAACTTTAGTGATAAGCAGTATGAAGTTCTACAGTTTTTGAACTTGATTTTTATCTGTTTCCTTTAATTTTTTTCTTTTAGTCTGTATAATATAAATTGCATTTTATTTGAATTTCTAGGCCCAAAAGTGACCTACATACCCCCTCCTCCACCAGAAGATGAGGATTCCATCTTTGCACATTATCAGACAGGCATAAACTTTGACAAATATGATACAATTCTTGTAGAAGTGTCTGGACATGATGCACCACCAGCAATTCTGGTAAGTGTATTGTTTCTGTATTCTTATGTAGCAAACTTTGATTTAGAATTATGTGTTATATTTATTAAATTGATAATACAAAAATTCACTTTTAGTTTTTAATGTCTTTGGAAATTTAGAACCATGTCTATCATCTTCAGTAGAATTAATTGCTATGTCAAAACAGAGTGACATGGAAATTTAAAAAAATTCCATATCAGAATGGGAATTTTTAAAAATTTGCTAAAAAGGATACTTTTTCTAGAGATTCAATATTTTTGCATACTAAGTGTGTAGAGAAGTTTATCTTAGAGGAGTGAGTTTTTTTTTTTTTAAAGACAGTTGGGGACGCCTCTATGTTCTATTAATTGTAGTAATGAGCCCTTGTTACTGATTAGTTTTTCATATCACACAGGTTTTTAAGGGAGCAGAAAAAGTTTTTAGAACCACTGTTTTGGGGTAAAGCTTCTAATGCTATTCAGTAATAATAAATAGGTCCTGAATGTTTACTTTTGAGTGGGGACATATTGTTAACTTTAGTATTAAAAGTAGAATTAATAAAAATGGAAAACTGCTTCAATATGTTTATGAATGACATATGTATGATATGGATTAATTCATTGCTTCTTTTTTCTTTTTAGACTTTTGAAGAAGCTAATCTTTGTCAGACATTGAATAACAACATTGCTAAAGCTGGTTATACTAAACTAACTCCTGTGCAAAAATATAGTATTCCTATTATACTGGCAGGACGAGATTTGATGGCTTGTGCTCAGACAGGGTCTGGGAAGACTGTAAGTCATTATCCCAAATGTGTTTTGCCCTTTATCCAAACTTTATTTTTTTTTTTTTTTGAACTTTGGTTCTTCTGAAATAGCTTGAATCTCTTTTGTTCAATAGAAGTTTTATAGGTAATTTTAGTGAACTATCATAAATATTCATGTTTTCATTTCTGATTTCTGGTTTTATATACTTCTAAAGGAGTTTTGAATTATTTCTAAGGTAGTGTTGCATTTCTTGGGTGCTTAATCTATTTCTAAGTGTGTTCAACTCATTCTGGTGCTTACCAGTATCTAAAACAAAAGGATTGAAGGTGAAGGCACCAGAGGTATAAAGCATTGTGAGAGACAGAAAATAATTTGTGATATCTGATATAATCTTGGAGTCAAAAGATAAAGAATGAGATGGTGAGCATTTTTTCATGTACTTGTTGATTGATTGTATGTCCTCCTCTGATAAGTGTCTGTTCAGGTCCTTGGCCCATTTGTTGATTGGGTTATTTGTTATTGTTTAATTTTTTGAGTTCTTTGTATACTCCGGATATTAGGGCTCTATCTGAAGTGTGAGGAGTGAAAATTTGTTCCCAGGATGTAGGCTCCCTATTTACCTCTTTTATTATTTCTCTTGCTGAGAAAAAACTTTTTAGTTTGAGTAAGTCCCATTTGTTGATTCTAGTTATTAACTCTTGTGCTATGGGCGTCCTATTAAGGAATTTGGAGCCCGACCCCACAATATGTAGATCAGAGCCAACTTTTTCTTCTAGTAGATGCAGAGTCTCTGATTTGATATCAAGCTCTTTGATCCATTTTGAGTTAACTTTTGTGCATGGCGAGAGAAAGGGATTCAGTTTCATTTTGTTGCATATGGATTTCCAGTTTTCCCAGCACCATTTGTTGAAGATGCTATCCTTCCTCCATTGCATGTTTTTGAATGCTCACCATCTCTAGCAGTCAGAGAAATGCAAATCAAAACCACCCTAAGATACCATCTCACTCCAGTAAGATTAGCAGCCATTATGAAGTCAAACAACAAGAAGTGCTGGGGAGGATGTGGGGAAAGGGGTACTCTTGTACATTGCTGGTGGGACTGCAAATTGGTGCGGCCAATTTGGAAAGCAGTATGGAGATTCCTGGGAAAGCTGGGAATGGAACCACCATTTGACCCAGCTATTGCCCTTCTCGGACTATTCCCTGAAGACCTTAAAAGAGCGTACTACAGGGATACTGCCACATCGATGTTCATAGCAGCACAATTCACAATAGCTAGACTGTGGAACCAACCCAGATGCCCTTCATTAGATGAATGGATAAAAAAAAAATGTGGCATTTATACACAATGGAGTATTACACAGCACTAAAAAATGTCAAAATCATGGAATTTGCAGGGAAATGGATGGCATTAGAGCAGATTATGCTAAGTGAAGCTAGCCAATCCCTAAAAAACAAATGCCAAATGTCTTCTTTGATATAATGAGAGCAACTAAGAACAGAGCAGGGAGGAAGAGCAAGAAGAAAAGATTAACATTAAACAGAGACATGAGGTGGGAGGGAAAGGGAGAGAAAAGGGAAATTGCATGGAAATGGAAGGAGACCCTCATTGTTATACAAAATTATATATAAGAGGTTGTGAGGGGAAAGAGAAAAAAAACAAGGGAGAGAATTAAATTACAGCAGATGGGATAGAGAGAGAAGATGGGAGGGGAGGGGAGGGGGGCGGATAGTAGAGGATAGGAAAGGTAGCAGAATACAACAGTTACTAATATGGCATTAAGTAAAAATGTGGATGTGTAACCGATGTGATTCTGCAATCTGTATACGGGGTAAAAATGGGAGTTCATAACCCACTTGAATCTAAAGTATAAAATATGATATGTCAAGAGCTTTGTAATGTTTTGAACAACCAATAAAAAAAAAGAATCACTAATAAACAGAGAAAAAAAAGAATGAGAAACAACTATATGCATTGTACTTGGTCCACAGTATAAATGACCTCAGGTCATTTCTAAAAGAAATAAGATGAGATCAGTTGATTTTAGGATTACTCTGGAAGGTTTATTTGTTAAATTGGGTGTCATGAGATGAGACTATTATTTCCAGGATTATAGAGTCCTGGTTCATACCATTTTAGTCTTAATCAGTCTCCACATCAGAATGGAAGGGAATATAGAAGCATTGTATAACATAGCAACTGATGAGTGACTTAAACATGGCTTTGGAGGTAGATTTTAGTCTTATTTACTTATATGAGAAACTATAACACAAAATTTCTCTTGTCCAGTGTAACTTTTCAGTAGGGTAATGTATGTAGTGATCCAAATGATAATTTTCAAATTTTTGCTCTGCCTATGGACCTCCTGATAATTTTTTGCTTCCCCCAAAGGAGTAATAACTGTTAGAATAACTGTTAAATGCAAGAATTTGGCATCAAATTATACCTACATTCCCCTTTATAAGTAAATTAATGTTGATCTGTGTACATATGGGTATGCTTATTTTCTTAAAAGATTGAAAAATATTTTGATGTGATGATTAATTTTATCAAATATTTTATATTGTATAATATGAGCCTAGAGACCTAAATGTTAACTGGTTGACATTGTTGTCATTTCTCATCCCTAATTTAACAGCAAGATGGAAGAATAATCTTAATGGCTACAAGGGCATGAGGAATAGCTTTTTGTAGGGACAAAAGTGATGCACTATAAGTTTATAAATTAGGCAATTTAACTTCTAGGCAGCTTTTCTCTTGCCCATTTTGGCTCATATGATGCGTGATGGAATAACTGCCAGTCGTTTTAAAGAACTGCAGGAACCAGAGTGTATTATTGTAGCACCAACTCGAGAATTGATCAACCAGATTTATTTGGAAGCCAGAAAATTTTCTTTTGGGTAAGTATAATCCACAATGTCATTCAAAAAATAATTTTACTTAGAATTTTTTCTCACTGTTGGAAGGAATTCAGTAATAGCATTCTCATGCAATTTTTAGCATCACTTGATTGAAGTATATTTTTTATAATTTTACTTATGAAATTCTTATTTTTTAAAAGAAACATAACTTTCCCATCCTCCACCCTGGGCAGCGGAGCACAACAGACACTAGTATGGCAATATGTAAATCAATGGATGTGTAACTGATGTGATTCTGCAATCTGTGTATGGGGTGAAGGTGGGAGTTCATAACCCACTTGAATCAAAGTGTGGAATATGATATGTCAAGAAATTTGTAATGTTTTGAACAACCAACAATAAAAAAAAAAATAAAAGAAACATAACTATTTAAAATTAGTAATAGATGCAGGAAATAAGAAAATAGTGAAAATATTGGTCTATTGTGGTAGCTTTTAATGCATATTTAAAAATAAACTTGGTGAATAATTATTCTTTATAATTCCATAATGTGGAAAACTACTTTTGGATTATTAGACCTATTTTTTAATGATTTTTAAATTTTCATATGTATACATTTTAATTATTTTGAAGCATTTAGTTTCTTTTTAACTTGGGGCTATTTTAAGTAAAATCATGACAAATATCTTGCTATATAAAGTTTTTTTATTTTAAGTAAAAAATATTTTTTTAATGAGATGAAGTCTTTCTATGTTTTCTATGAACTTGCGCCTTAGCCTCCCAAGTAGCTGGGGCTACGGTCGTGTATCACTATATCCAACTAGTTTTTCTGTTTTAAGTATCTCTGTGAAATAGATTTACATCTATTTTAATACAATATAGTGTGAACTTACTTTAAAGCTTGCACTAATGTACACTTCTAAGAAGTATATGAGAGTCCAATTTCACTATACCCTTTGCCAATATTTATTATTGTATTATCTATTGCTGCCTAACAAGTTACTTTAAAAAAAATAGTTTTTTTAGGGGCATATTGGAGATTGGACTCAGGCACTTGACCACTGAGCCACATCCCCAGCCCTATTTTGTATTTTATTTAGACATAGGGTTTCAGAGTTGCTTAGCACTTCACCGTTGCTGAGGCTGGCTTTGAACTTGTGATCCTCCTGCTTCAGCCTCCCCAGCTACTGGGATTACAGGCATGTGCCACCATGCCGGGCAAAATATAGTTCTTAAAACAATAAACATTTACTATGTCACAGCTTCTTAGGGGTTAAGAATTGAGCTTTGCTGCTTCTGGTTTGGAATCTTTTTTTGAGATTGCAGGCAGGGTGTCAGCCAGGAATCCAGAGACTTGACTGGACTATTTCCATAAGGCTACTTCATTTTCTTTAGGAATGGCAGCTGGCTTCTCCTGGATTGAGAGATTAACAAGAGAACAAGGAGGAGGCTGCAGTGGTTTCATGGAACAGTCTCAGGAGCCTCACACATGTCATGACACCAAGTCTCACGACTGGTTATATAATTTACCAGAACCAATACAAATGAAAGGGCATGGCATTTTGTTCTCTAGTTATTACACATTTCAAAATAATAACAGCAGAACATTAAACCAAGCACAGAGCTCTTTTGAATTTGGGAACCAAGCACAGGGCTCTTTTGAGTTTGGGATCTTTTGTGACTACATTGGTTGCACACCCATGATGCCAACCTTACTCATACTTAAGGGATCAGGAAGGAATTTTGAAGAATTTGTGTATGTATTAAAACTATTATAGGTATCTTCATTTTTTTCCATTTATTTGATTATTCTCAGATTGAAAAATTTTTAAAAATGTTTAATATTTTTTTTCTTTGTGAATTATCCATTATGTACAGGTTATCTATTGGAAAGAACATTTTTCTTTAGTTTTTTTTAGAGCTTTCTATATAGAAATCATTAGTCTTTTATTTTGTATAAGTTTTATTTTAAATGAGAAAAGAAAATAGTGATCATTAAAATCACTTTAATTTGAAACTTGATAATCTTTTGGAAAAAGCTGATGTAGCTGCATACAGTGTGGTGCATGCCTGTAATTCTAATGGCTCGGGAGGCTGAATGAAAGATCACAAGTTGAGGGCCAGTCTAGGCAACTGAGGAGGCCCTAAACAACTTAGTGAGAGCCTGTCTCAAAATAAAAACCCAAAGGACTGGAGATGTAGCTTAGTGGCACCCCTGGGTTAAATCTCTAGTACAGGAGGGGAGTGGGGGGAGGTTGATGTAGATTGCTTATACTAGTGTTTGTTTCTTTCTAATCTTCAAGTACTCTGTTACTTTAGGGCTCTTAAGTAAAAGAAGATAAATATTTTTAAAAAAATATAAACTCGGTAAATTTGGATAATATTTGTATGTAAAAATGTATATTTTATATGGATATTTATTACCATGTATGATAAAAGAATGAAAACTATCTGAATGTCCTTTAGTAGAGTACTGGCTTAATTATAGTAAATGTAAAATGATAATGGTAATAAGTTATTGATTACTTAGCATTTTTTAGAAGTGTTTTGTATGTGTTTAACTCATTTAGTCCTCACAATAATGAATAACAAAGCAAATAGCAGAGTTTACTTAATAAAAGATAATTTTTTCCTATATTCTCAATCCCTGGTTCTTTGACTTGTCTTGTTCAGTTACTTTTATAAGTTTCATATGAATTACTGCCCAAACAGTCAGTGCATGTGTTTGTACTTTGATCTTCCTCTCCATAAATAGTAGCATATTAAACTGTTGCCATCTGAGTTGTTTCTTTAACACAATGTATATTTGAGATAATTCTTAATCTAAAACTATAGCCCTTTTAAAGAATGCACTATTTCTTTGTCTTTATAGACACTTAATTTTCAGTCTTTTGATACTACAAATAATGGTGGCAGTGAATATCATTGTACATTCATCTCTACCTATTTGTGGGAACATATCTGTACAGTTAATTTCTAGATTCGGATTTAGTGGGCCAAAGGACAAATTTTCAAACTTTAATAGAGACTAAAATTGTAAGAGGTTGTGTTACTTTACCATCAGTGCTGGTACCTAGGCTAACATGGTATTACCATACCTAAGGGAAAATGTTGTGTTAGTAGTCATTCATTTTCCTTTTCAAAATAATGTTGGAACTGTTAGAAAATGTTTCAAACTTATCTGTAGTTTTATGAATCATTTGTTAATGTCTTTGGATTGTTGAGGTTTTTTTTTTTTTGTGAGAGTATGTTTAGGGAACAGAGTAATAGTGTTTTTCATTATTTTAATGAGCCCTTTGTCAGATAAGTTGCAAATTTTTTTTTCTGTTTGTCATTTATTTTCAACTTCTTCCTGGGCAGAATTTAAAAATTTTAAGGTCATTGAGTATATTCTTTTATCATTCATGGAAGTTGATTAACATGTTATTAGAAACAAACATCTAATTTTCAAATAACTAGAAAGTGACATTTGGTTTTCTTGTCTCTAGCACTTGTGTAAGAGCTGTTGTTATATATGGGGGAACCCAGTTGGGGCATTCAATTCGACAAATTGTACAAGGCTGTAATGTACTATGTGCTACTCCTGGAAGACTGATGGATATCATAGGTAAAGAAAAGGTAGGTGAGGTCTGGGGTTGTGGCTCAGTGGTAGAGCACTTGTTGTAGTGTAAGCACTGGGTTCAATTCTTAGCGCGTGCATACACACACACACACACACATATAAATAAATAAAATAAAGGTCAATTAATAACTAAAAAAGAAAAGGTAGGCCTTAGAAGGATAACAAAGTTGTGAAACTTCTAGCATTTTTTAGGGAAAGGAAAGTAAATGGAAGATATATTTACTAGAGCACTGTTTATATGTTAAGCTCCACTAGATTCTTTGAATGTAATCTCATATAGTTCTCAAAATAATCTTAACAGGGTATTTTTCAGTTTATGCTTGGGTAAACAAACTCAGTAAAATTAGATAATTTATTTTAGATCCCTCAGCTGTAATAAGTGATAGTTAGGGTTAGAATATGGGTCTGATTCCAGAATCCATATCTTATAAACCTTAGTGGGAGAAAAATGTAAGAAACAGTTTTATCTAGTTTAATATATAGTTTAATGAGATAGTTTTTCTCCTGGGAAAAAACCCTTTGTGGCCTCAATCATTTTGTTTCCTGTTAAAGGATGTGTGCATATTAACCAGGATTATTTCTAAAATTCAAGAAGAGGTTTTAGGGCTATATACTCACTTAGGAATTCATATACCAAATTATTGCCTCTCAATCAACACTTTAAATTCACTTTAATGAACCTTAATTTTTTTAAGTTCTACTCAAAAGGGGTTACTTAAAACTTATCTTTCTGCATAAAAGCATCTTTTGTTGGATTCATAAAGGTATCCAGAGAAAATCCACCTTAGATCCTCATTGTCTTCATAGTAGTACTTGTATTTTTGCGGATATATTCTATTTATACCAATAAATGTTGTTCTTGTTATGCAAAGATAAGAGAAGTTTCCAACTTGTTCCTGAGTGATTAGAGAAGGGAGAATTTATTAAAGATTTTAAAGGAATTAGAAAAAGATTGGCAGTTAGAAGATATTTATATATGTTGTGTTAGACTTTTATTACATTAAGGAGTCTTTATTAGATAATTCGGTCTACATCTGTGCTGTCCAGTACAAGTAATCATTAAGCCACATTTGACTATTTGCATTTTTAAATGATTAAAATTCAGTCTTGCAGTCACAATAGTCATGTTTCAGTTGCTTAATAGCTATATATAGCTAGTGGCTAACATGTTAATACAGATAATAGAACTTTCAAGTAATTGTAGAAAGTCCTCTTATTGATAGAGATGTTTTGGTTTAATATAAACTACTATGAATTTTCTGTTCTTACCCTTGAAAATATCCTTAAAGATTGGCCTCAAACAAGTCAAGTATTTAGTTTTGGATGAAGCTGATCGCATGTTGGATATGGGTTTTGGACCAGAAATGAAGAAGTTAATTTCTTGCCCAGGAATGCCATCAAAGGAACAACGTCAAACCCTTTTATTTAGTGCAACTTTTCCAGAAGAAATTCAAAGGTAAGTTTTTTTTGTTTTCTGAGTCTTCCATTACTTTACAGATTCTTTAAAGAATTTGTATATACACAGATATCCTATGGAAATAGAAGCAATGTGAATACCATTTTTAGAGATTTGTCTTTAAGATTTTACACAGGTAGTTTAAAAAGTAAATGTATTCCTAGAAAGTTTCCTACATTTTTTTCATTGTTACTTACCTTTATTCCTGATTTTGCTTTAGAATCATATTCTATTGAATGTATGGGGGGTGTGTGTGTGAGAGAGTGTGTGTGTGTGATATTGTTGCTGCTGCTACTGCATAGCACCTAGATAGGATTTAATGAGTTCTTAGTAAATGAAGTTATTCTTATTGTACTTTATTTTCAATCTAAATGGAATTGGGCCTTTGGACATTTCAGACATGAGTTATTGATAGTGTTTGAGAATTATGCTATATACCATGTGGTCTGATGACTTCAGAGATTAGGGTGACACATTCCTGCTAGGATGGCAACTCTTCTTACCAGCTACGAGTTCGTCTCTTGCTTGGCACAGGGAACCTGAAGTATCCAGGCAAAAGCAGGAGGACCCTTGTTGTTTTCTCTAGGAACTATTCTCTTTGGGAACCAAGAGCTGTATTCCTGCAGAACCTTGATTAGGGGGGATAGGAAAAAAAAAAAAGAAAGAAGGATGGAAAGCACAGATTTCTTACGTGGATCATTGTGGGAATGATGATAGATCTTGCTTGCATAACTTGGTTCCTAGACTCAAGCCACATGAAGATCTTTGGTTCAGAGGTTACTGTGTCCTATTGGATGATGCCCTCTCTTAAAAAAAAAAAATTCTTTCAAGATCACCAGTGAGCTGTTCTTTCTAGATAATTTCAATGTTTTCTCAGCCTGGCAGCTTCTAGGTGGTGCAGCATATAATATGACCTGTGGATCCTAATGTTATAGGCCTGCTTCTTCTTTCCTGTAAAGTTGGCCATCTGATCTGAGAGAATGTTATATGGGATCCCATGCTAGTGTATCAAACACTCCTCAAGCCTTTGGATAGTCATGCTTAACTATTTGTTTTACTTATCACATGATAAAAAAAATCTGCGTGTAAAATTAGAAAGCTTAAAAAATCTAAATCATAAAGCTCTGGGTCAGTTGGCAGGATTTTGTTTCTTAGTGACACATAAAATAATTTCTTAATGATGGAATTGTATCTTACATCTGAAATAGGGTATCTGATTCCTACCATCAGCTTATAATATTAAGTAGATTGTTGTCTACCTAATTACCAGATAATATTCCTGCTGCTGCTTTTTAAATTTCCTGTAAAATAGGAAAGTATTAGGTTATTGGCTACCCACAATGACTAATGTGTACTACTTGTTGATATTTTATGAGCCATATTTGATTATTATCCCTGATAAACATAAGATTCCTTGACTTTGAGTTTTCTATATTCTTTGTTTTCTGAGTCTTCCATTACTTTACTGTCTTTTCTTAAATGTTACTGGTTCCCCATTATTCTGCCTAAGATCTTTTTCTCATTTGAATATTCTCTGAACCCTTGTAGTATCCATTCTCTTGGCTTCTACTTCTAACTGTAACTCTCAAGAGCTATTCCCAGTATCCATGATCTCTATTCTGAGCTCCAGACTTTAAGATTTAACTCTTTGAAAGTGATTTTTCTCTCACATGAATTGCTAGTTAACTCGTGTTGATGTTCAAAGTTGAACCTATTTTTTTCTTCAACTCCATCTTTCCAGTTTTCTTTATTGGGATTGATGGCATCTTGATCCTTTGAAGCCCTAATCCTTTAAATTATGGTAATTTCCTCCTCACCTTCTTTTAACTCTGTCCTTCAAAATATTCACTTGATAGTTCTCTAAAATTGTTCAAGTCTGTTAGTTTCCTTTTTATTTCCCACCTTAATTTAGGTCTTTCTCAGTTCCACATTCTTGCTTACTGCTTCATTAGGTCAAGTTTCAAAGACTTTTTAATGAGTCTTCTAAATAGTGCTTGCTTCATTCATTTCCTGCCAGTACATCTTGTGAAAAACACTTTGTATACATTTCTTGAAATTAATTGAGTGTTCAGTAAATGTTAACTATTCTAATGTTGAATTATAATGATTTTTAATACATTTATTCTACTTGATGCCATCACCTTAGAGACAAACATCATTATATTCATCTGTGTGTTCTTAATACTTTCTACTATGTATACCTGCTGTAGGGCACTCAGTAAATGTTTTAGTAAATGAAAGAATTATGGACAAAGAATTTCAAATGGTTTTTAAGGTTTTGTGCCTGCATGAGAGTGGTGCTTGACTCTTAAAGGAGGCACATCAAAAAGAAGTTTTGCTTTTGTGGTAAGAGAGCAGGTAAGAAGAAAGAAGAGGCAATGGTTTATTAAGATTCCGGATATGCTGAGTTTGAGCTATATTCATGGCATTCTAGGAGACATCTAGAAAGTAAGGAACTTCTATATAGAAGAGAAGAGAACTGAAGATAAACTTGGGCTTTCCCATTTATTTCTAAAAACTCAAGTTTTCTAATTGGCAGTGCCCCTATACCAGCCATATGTATGGATGATTCAAAACAGACCTCAGTTTTCTGTTAATAGTGAATTACTGTGTGTCAGGATATTGATCTGCTCAATCTTTGGAGCAGGCTCACAGTCTAGTCCTGCCCAGCCCCTATGCCTCTTACCTCATCATATTTTTTTTTCCTGCTCAACTGTGCAATACAAATTTTATCATTTTCTGTGTGTGTGTGTGTGTGTGTGTGTGTGTGTAGTAACATAAAAAGCACTGATCTGTGATCTGGTTTGCTCATACTCATTTATTTGAAGCAGAGTAGTTTAACAGGTAATATTATCAGAAAACAATTCCTAGCAATGATGTACATAAGAAATAACAAGGGAAGACTATCTTAATCTAACATTTTTAATTTTCAGTTTTCAATTATAAAATTTCTGCTTGTTAAAGTATGTTTTAGTTCTCACTTTTAATTTTTCTGTACACATTTTATGTAGTTTTATATGGACTACTTACAAATCCATTGGAAATTATTGTATCCATAATTTGATACAAACTTATTTGCTAGTAATTATGTATTTTTGCAAAATCTTAACATTGTGTCCTGATCTTTGAAAATAGTACTTGGATGACATAAAAAGCCACCTTATCACTGTTATCATCTGCTATTTAGTAAATATGGAAGTAACACTTTCAGGACTTCAGCAAATATGAGCATGAATGGAGGAATATAAGTAAGCTAAGGAATAATCTTTTGTCTTTCAAGGTTGGCTGGGGAGTTTTTAAAGTCGAATTATTTGTTTGTTGCTGTTGGACAAGTGGGTGGAGCATGTAGAGATGTTCAGCAGACCATTCTCCAAGTTGGCCAGTACTCAAAAAGAGAAAAACTTGTCGAAATTCTACAAAACATAGGTATCTTACGTTGATATTTTTTGTTATGATATTAATTTTTAAAAAATGACTAATTTTTAAAAATCATTATAATGTTTGGCATAACTTCTAGTAAGTATATTTCCTCTTCCTCTAAAACTCTTTTGTAAAAGATTTTATGATTCAGTTTTCTGTGTAAATTACATCAAAATATAGTCCTTTTTTCTCTAGAGGTTTAATATAGGAAGGGTTCGAAATTTAGTTGAATAGTATTTTACTAAAAACTATTACATAAGAAAAAAGTATGTATATTTGACTTAGAAAACTAGAATGGCCTAGTATAGTAACACATTCTTATGTCACTCTGTTACTCCATCAAAAACAAACTCCTCTGTTTTTGTGGTTCTGGTTCTCATTTCCTAGGGCCTCCAATATTCATAGATTCAAAGAAATTCAAAGGTGAAGGGGCTTGAGATGTAGTTCTATCCTTTGCAATACCTATGAGAAATATTTTTCTCTATCCCCCTTGCCAAAATATTTTCAGTTTCAAAGAGTGTAGTTTTTTGGTTTGAGAAGGATTTGAGACTGGAAATAATTTCCCATGTGGTCATTTTGGTATCTTCGTGTTACCACCTCACAGGCTAGAAGGCAGTCTACTTATGTTCTGTACTTTTTACCCCCATTCACAATCCCCCATTTTGGTAATGCTGTTTCAGTTTGCATGTCAGTATATTTTTATTTATATAACTTATCTTCTTTTCTTCTCTTTTCAGTTAATTTTGAGTAGGATTGATGAGAAAGCAGGAAGTCAGTTTTTTTTTTTTGTAGATGGACACAATACCTTTATTTATTTTATTTTTATGTGATGCTGAGGATCAAACCTAGTGCCTCACCTGTGCTAGTCAAGCACTCTACCACTGAGCTACAACTCCAGTCCCTGAAATCAGTTCTAATAAAGAGCATAAAGAAAAAAAAAAGGAAAGGTCATTTTGAAAGCATTTAAGGCTACTTGTCTTCAGATGACTAGGAGACTTTTATTTTAAAAAAAAGAAAAAAGAAAAGAAAGAAAAAGAAGAAAAAAAAACTTCCTAAACCAAATACTTGCGTATGAGTGAATGAATTCATGAAGTGTTTCATAGTATATACTAAAAGTGTGGGTGTTAGTCAGCTTTCTGTCACAACTAGAGGAAATCAATTTAAAGAAGTGAAGATTTATTTTGCTTCACAGTTTCAGATGTTTCAGTCTGTAGTCAGCTGGTTCCTTTGCTTCTGGGCCTATGGTGAGGCAGAATATCATGGTGGAAGGGCATGGTGAAACAAAACTGTTTATTTTATGGCAGCTAAGAAGCAGAGAGAAAAAGGGACAAGGGACAAGATATAGTCCCCAAGGTCCACTCCTTTCAAATAAGTCCAGCCTCCTTCAGTTTCTGCTATGTCTTAGTAGCTGTTTAGTTATGAATCCCATCAGTGGATTAATCTATTGATGAAAGCAGAGCCATCATGATCCAGTTTCTCAAAAACTCCATCTCTGATGCTGCATTGGTTTGGGGGTCAATCCAGATCCAAACTATAACAGCACATAAAAATAAAAATTATAGCTGTGAACCATGTTCTGATTGTTTTACATGTGTGAACTCATTAATTTTCAGAATGACTTTATGAGGTAGGTTTTGTCATTATCCCCATTTTAGGGATGAGGAAACTGAAAAGTAAGGAAGCTTAGTAAGAGTTTATGAATTTGAGTTGGGTAGAGTATTGATCAAAAGTGAGATCAGATACTGTTTTAAAATGTTTCATTTTAGTTTACAAAAGCTGAGTCTACTAAATTGCTGTGTGATACAGCTAGCTTAAGAAAAAAAGACTTCTGGATTTATCAAGAAAACAAAACATTAAAATAATATTAATAGTATTTCAAACAAATGACTTCAGTAAGATTTCCTTTATTAAACTCATTCAGTCCTTATGTAATTCTGTTCCATTGACTGTTAGAAATGTACTTTCATGATTCCTTTACTGCTAGAAACCTTATTTAGTCCAGTGATATGGCCTGAAAATTGTCAAAGCAGTGTTAATTTAGAATCTTCTACATAAGACACTATTCTTTAAAATATCAGTAATTTGAAGGGTACAGTCCTTTTTAACAAGGCTTGGAGACCTTTAAGATCCAGGGTCTAATCTGTAGCTTATAGCACCATCTCTGGGCAAGCATCAAGACAAAGCAAAAACCATGGACGACAGACTTTTAATGACTGGTAATTTGTGGCTGAGAATTGTTAAATATGGAAATTCTGTTGTGGGTTCTTAATAAGAATAATGCAACTAAAGCCTGGTGCAGTGACACATATCTGTAATCCCAGTGGCTCCAGAGGCTGAGGCAGGAGGATTTTGAGTTCAAAGCCAGCCTCAGCAACTTAGTGAGGTCTTAAGCAACTCGGTGAGACCCTGTTTCTAAATAAAATACAAAAAAGGGCTGGGGATATGGCTCAGTGGCTAAGCAACCCTGGTGGTTCAATCCCTAGTACAAAAAAAAGCAAATGATTAATTTGTTTTTTTATATAAAATGCAAAATAAAGATAATAAAGCATTTCTAAAAACTTAGACAAAATGTCTCTGATGATGATGATTAAGTGTATTTTCAAAGAAGTAAATCAGGCTGGAAGATGGCTCAGTGGTAGAGTACTAGAGCTCTGCCTAGCATGTGCAAGGCCTCAAGTTTATTGTGCAATACTGCAAAAAATCATTAATGAAAATGATTAGACATAATTTTTATGACCAGAATAGATTCAGTTAACTGTAGGGTTCAGACATTTGTTTTCTCAAAATTCCATGTGTAAGCCTAATCTACATTCCTAGTTGAGAACATTGGCCTAGAAGATGATAAATTCAAATTAGGAAAGAAGTTTGTAGATAAATAAATATTTTGAATAATAAGTGAAATTGTGAATGTCATTACTGTATTGTTGTATCAGGACTCTTAACAAATATAGGAAAACTTCATAGAATTATTTGCTAAGAGTTTTGATGAGTGATTTCTTCTGAAGGTTAAAAACATATTAAGGACAGTGAGGGAATTTACAAATTTCTAGGGAATTCCTGTGAAGTATATACTTTTGAAATAAACATTTTACTTATACTCTTTAGAGAAGCTTTGTGTCTCTTCTGATTTGGCAACTCTTATCACACAACTCATACAATAGTAATGTATCAGATGTATAATTATTTCAAGCACTCCTTCTTTTATAAGGTGAAATAATAAGTCTTTTGCATGGGCTTTCAGAAATTTTAAAGGTAGATTTATTTTTTATAAATTTACATTCTGCTCTTAAAAAAGAGTTTTCAGAGAAGAGTTGAACATTCAATTAGTGTAGGATCCATGGGTGTTTGAGAAACAATTTTTGGCTACCAGTTTAATTGAAATGACAATAAGGCATTTAGAAATATACATAGACGTTAACAACATGGTTGTAAAGAACCCGAACTATTTCATAAGTAGGGGTCTTTTCCTCTCTTTAATCAAAAGACATAATAAAGTCAACAATCTCTACTGTCTAGGCTGATTACAAGGAAAATAAAGAATAACCTTTCATATTATAAGGGGATAAACAATAAATCAAAGAAGTAATTCCATCCAAATTGAATGAATTTTGCTAAATTTTTATCATTTCATAGCTCTTTTTAGACTCAAGTATTATAAATCAAAACAAATAAAATTCAGTTTCCAAATTTTCTCTTTTATTGTACTTTTTAGTATTCTAGAATGTAACACTTTAGAACAAAGCAAGTCTTCCCTAGGTTTCCTAAGATCCTTTAAAGGGGTCTGCAAGATAAAAATAATTTTCATAGTTATACTAAAAATTATTTAACATTCAGTGTGTTCAAATAAATATTTAAACTTTTCCTTGGATTTTATTTTTAATATGGTAAATACCAAGCATTGTAACTCATATAATAAAAACTCTTTGGGATTCTCAAGAATGTTTTATGAGTTAAACATTAAACATGGAGACATAGACCAAAATGTTTGATAGTTACCACTTTAGGAAAAACACTTATAAAAAATATTTTTTAGTTGTAGTTGGACACAATACCTTTATTTTATTTATTTATTTGTATGTGGTGCTAAGGATCGAACCCAGGGCTTCACATGTGCTAGGCAAGCGCTCTACCGCTGAACCCATAACCCCAGTCTTAGGAAAAACACTTTTTCCTCCCCGTAAAAAAAAAAAAAAAAAAAAAAAAAAAAAAAGCACACAGTTTATATTTTTCTGTCACTATTATTTCTAGTACAGCTCTGACCACTTATATTTTTAACCAAAATATTATCTATTTTACCTGGGGACAGGGTGCAATATTGAGAGATATCAGATGTCATATGTAAGCATGTCTCTTAAGTTACCTCAAAATTTTGAAAATCATCTTCAAAATGATGTTTTTCAAAATGTAAATACTGTTGAATATTGAATGCAAATTTACATGTTTAGGCTTCTTTTTGGGGGGTGGATGATACTGGAAATTAAACCCAGTGGTGTTCTACCTCAGCCTTTTTAAAAATTTTGAGACAAGGTCTCTCTAAGTTTCCCAGGCTGACCTCAAACTTGTGATCCTTTTGTGTTAGCTTCCTGAGTAGCTGGTATTAGAGGCACCACTGTACCCAACTTACATGTTTATATTTCTAAACATTATGGAGGAGTAATTTTAGTTTGACTGGTAGACCTGTATATGAAAGGAAAATCAAATTCAAATAGAGTAAGATGTTTGTTTGATACTTAATATGGTTTAACAGGAGGAAAAAAATAGTGTTTTTTAAAACCCAAGTTATTAAAATAGTCTTATTTATTAAAGGGTTATGTCAACGTGTATTCTTTAATGTTTTTTGATTTAGGACTAGGGATATGGCTTGGTGGTAGAGCACTTGTCTATCATGCTAAGGCCGTGGGTTCAATTCCAAGCACTGCCCCCCTCCAAAAAAGTGTGTGTGTGTGTGTGTGTATGTATGTATGTATATATGTATATGTATATATAGTGTTTAAATATCTAATATTTTCCATAATAAGTTTTTTTCAAAAGTTTAATACAATTAGTGTATTACAAGTTCTTTATTTTCTGGGAATATTAATATTCTTTATTTTCTGGTAACATTTTTTTTATTTCATTCATATCTATAAACCAATCAAAATGGAGCTTCTTTGAGACTTTATAATTTATTACTTAAGTTATTAATACTATTATAGGATATTGAGATGATTTCAAAGTGATATAAAGCCCTTTTGAATTACAAATACATAAAGTACTTATAGCTTTAGTTTTACTACTTCAGTCATATGTCAAGAATTAACATAGAAATACAAAAAAATTATAATCTAGCTTGCCAAAGTGAGAATAATTTTTAGATTTTTAATTGCTATACCTCACAATAGACAACTAAAGAAGTAGACTTACAAAATGGGTCTTCTGTATTTTTCACCTCACAGAAAATAGTTAGAGATCACCAGATGGTCTCATAAAACTATGTAATCATTGCTGCCACTAATGGAAAATAGCTTATTGTCTAAACTAGAACAAATACAAAATTAGTAGAGAGGAAAAAACTAGAGAAATGGAGTCATCAGAGTTTTATTTATTTTATTTATTGCCATTTGAGATTGACAGTGGGAAGCAAGAAAGATGATAACCAGGTATTAGGGTGCATACCAGTGCTATATGTACCTGGCTCTGTCATGTGAATTGGTTTGGCACTAAGCATCTTGTGGGATGACCTCCAAAACTATTGAAAGATAATTTTTGATAAAACATAAAAATGTTAAACAAATATAAAATAACTGTGTCTCAAAGATTTAACTTACTACTGTGGGAACAAGTTGCCTTTTTCATTTGTCTGCTTGGTTGTTTAATAGGTATCTGAGTATTAGCCTCCAAACCTTTTTTTTTTTTTTTTAAATAACTTGCACTCTTGTCACATCACTTAAATGTTAGTTCCATTCTTCCAGTTGTTCAGGCACAAATTCTTGGAATCATCCTTGATTTATCTTTTTTTTTCTATTTTTTAAATTATTATTTTTTATTCTTATTTGTTATGTGACAGCAGAATACATTACAATTCATATTACATGTGTAGAGCACAAATTTTCATATCTCTAGTTGTATACAAAGTAGAGTCATACCATTTGTGTCTTCATACACGTACTTAGGATAATGATGTGCATCTCATTCCACTATCTTTCCTACCCCTGAGTCCCCCCTTCCACTCCCACCCCTTTGCCCTATCTAGAGTTTGTCTAATCCTCCCATGCTCCTTACACCCCAACCCCATAATGAATCAACATCCTTATCTTGATTTATTTCTTTAATTACACATCTAATCTGTTATCAAAATCCTGTTGGTTCTACTGTCAAAATATATCTAGAACCCATTAACTTCTCAGTTAAAAGTGTTACTTCTGCTCAAAACCCAGCGGCTTCCTTTCTCAGAGTAAAAATGTTCTTTCATTGGCCTTCAAGGCCCTTGTATGATGGCCTCCATTACCTCTCTTGAGGTTATCTCCTAGTTTCCTTTGGGCACCCTAAGCCACGTTTTGTCCATTAGTATTCCTTACATATACTAGGCATACTTCTGTCTCATTGCCTTTGCCTAGAATGGGCAGGCCATATGAGGGTCTCTTTTGTTTTGAGCCTGAGAACACTATTTCAGAGCCTTTTATACCTGTTCTCCCCTCTACCATGTAATGCTCTTTCCTCAGGTATTTGCATAGTTCACCAATCTTTATGTCTTTACTCAGATATCACCTAATAACTCTATCTGAAGTAATCTCTGCATCTTGATTCTGGTGATTCTTTTCAAGATTTAACATGTTTTGCCTCCCCCTAGTAAGAGCAGGAGCTTTATTTCTGTATTACTAACACTTAGAATAGTGATAAGCATCTAATTGGCACTAACTGTTGAATAAATGAGTGAATGCAGTGAGCTGATGGGGGAAATGAGAGGGAGAGGGTATGAGCAACAATAAATTCTTCCTTCCATTAAAGGTATTAATTACCATCTTCTCAACATATAGGGATATTGACTATGTGGAAAATCTGCCCCATACTTGAATTTCTATCAGTTAAATACTTTAAGCTAACAAGTAAATATTTATTAATGAGTTAAGATCTGGGGAAAGACTGTCATTTAACTTTTTAAATATATGAGATATTTTGGGAAAATGGACAGAGGCAAATTTGAAACTACTAGAAGTTGGCAGTAAGTTATTAGTCCCTAAATCTGTATTTCCTGAGTTGGCCTGGGAAAAGGCAAGGTAATTTTTTAAATCCCTAAACTGGGAGAACTTGTCTTTTTGACATTCATCCATTCAAGAAACATTTGACTCCTCTCAAGTACCAGACCTGGCTCTGGGTGCTGGTACTTTGGGTTGATGAAACAAAAGTTTCCTGTTCAAACATGCACCTTTTTTTCTTGTTTTTAATTTTGTAGTTTGAATGTTAATAATTTTGTTATTTTTATAGGTGATGAAAGAACTATGGTTTTTGTTGAAACCAAGAAGAAAGCAGATTTTATTGCAACTTTTCTTTGTCAAGAAAAAATATCAACTACAAGTATTCATGGGTGAGTAATATGATTTCCTAGGAGGAGATGCACTTCTGTTTGAGCAAATTAGTATATATGCAGGCATGGGTCATACAACAATAGTTTGGTCTATGACAGACTGCACGTGTGACAGTGGTTCCTTAAGATTATATTGCCTTGTGGTATTGTCGTCATCTTAGTTTGTGTAAGTGCGCTTTATGATGTTTGTATAACGCCAAAATAGCCTAATGACACATTCTTGGAATATGTCCCCATTGTCAAGTGATGCAAGACTCAAACTAAGACGACGTAATTGGAATTAATAGGTTTGGAATTCAGAATTGTCTTAAGATATACACTGTTATCCCCCATTTATTTCCCCTCGGTGCACAGGAAAGTGTGGTATACCCAAGAGGGCTAAATTATTCTTCTTCATCTCCATTCTTAGTTTTCTTAGGAACTAACTGGTGGGAATGAGCAGGTAAAAGGTCTGCCTTAGGTTCCTCATCATGAGGAGTGAGAACTTCTCAAGAGATTTCATTTAAAGATCTCTTGGTCTTATGTCTACATTTTTCCTTTGCTAAATCTTTCTGGTTTCAGGTTTTCTTTTGTTTTAATTGGAGTGCTTAAAAATGTCATATCATGGGCTGGGGATAGAATTCACTGAGTGGTAAGCACTTGGTGAGGATGTGGGAGGCCTAGTACCATCAATCCCTAGTACCATAAAAAAAAAAAAGTCATATCACCACAACCTTATTGATGTTTTACTAATAGATCTAAAGTATTAATCACTGAATATGTACAAATCTGAAATTATAGTTTAATTTTTTAGTTTATTGAGCAAGCATTCTAACCAAGTAGTTGTATCAATTTTTAGCAGAACTAGAAAGCATAGAGATTATTACTAGGTATGATTTGACTTTTGTCATACTTGAGCTTGTATTCTGGCCCTGTGTATTAGCTGTTACCCCCATCAGCAAATGGAATAATTGTTCCAATTCAAGGTATTATTGTGAGGAGAAAATAAAATTGGTGGATTGAAAGGAATTAGTATAATACCTTCCTATGTAGGAAGAATACATTAAATGCTGGCATTTTAATTATTTTTTAAAAATTATATGTTGAATTTTATTTTCTTAAAAGCTGTACTAATACAAGCTTCCTTTTCTTTCAAGTGATCGGGAACAGAGAGAGAGAGAGCAAGCTCTTGGAGATTTTCGCTGTGGAAAGTGCCCTGTTCTTGTTGCTACTTCAGTAGCTGCCAGAGGGCTTGATATTGAAAATGTTCAACATGTTATCAATTTTGATCTTCCTTCTACCATTGATGAATATGTTCATCGAATTGGGCGCACTGGGCGTTGTGGGAATACTGGCAGAGCTATTTCTTTTTTTGATCCTGAGTCAGATAATCATTTAGCACAGCCTCTAGTGAAAGTACTGTCAGATGTAAGTTTTAAAATTATAAAACTGAATGGAAAATGTTCTTATTTTATTTTTGAGATATTTTATGCATATGTACAAAAAAGTAGACTTCACCAATCTTTGAGACTTTATGTTGCATGTAATATTTTTTTTAAAGGCTCAACAGGATGTACCTGCATGGTTGGAAGAAATTGCCTTTAGTACATATGTTCCTGGCTTCAGTGGTAGTACAAGAGGAAATGTATTTGCATCAGTTGATACTAGAAAGGTTAGTTAAAGGGAATAATTCAGAAATTGGCTTATAGTTGCTCTTTGAAAATATGCTTGCTATTATTAAGTGAATATAATCAGTAATTGATCTAAACCATTATTTTCATGCCTAAGTGGCAGCAACTTTGTTTCTTTAAAAGTTTATGTACATACATATTTTGGGTTTTAAAGGTGAAGAATTAACTTTCTCAGTTAAAATTCTAATTTCCTCCATTCCGAAGTTTGCTGACATTTTAAATTGTAATTTGGGATTTCCTGAACTTTCTACAGAATTCTTTAATTTCAGAATTTTGAGTACATTATTAAGAAAAAATGCTGGAGCCATGAGGCTGCATGCCTTTCTGATAGGTCAGTTTTTATGCAGCTTACCTGTATACAAAAAATATGAACATACAAATTAAATATTTGTTGATTTGTTAAAGTGTAACACAGGAAGTTTTTCCACTTGCCAAAACCTAGTGACTTAAAAAATTGTCTGGTTGAATTATTCTGTGCAGTTCAGACTTCTGTAACAGTTAAATATAGACCTTTTTGTCCAATAAGAGTGAATGGGGCTGGGGTTGTGGCTCAGTGGTAGAGCACTTGCCTAGCATGGGTTTTATTCTCAGCACTACATATAAATAAATAAAACAACATTGATTGGCAACTAAAAACTAATATTTAAAAAAAAAAGAGTGAATGAATTCTTTAATTTGGGGCAGATAAGCTGGAAATCTTGAGTCCCTGCCCTCAGTCTGGGTAATATAACTTTAAAACTGTCATAACTTAATATTTCTTTCCTTTTTTTAAAGAATTACCAGGCCAAGAGCACTCTGAATGCAGCAGGGTTTTCATCTTCTTCACAAGCTCCCAATCCAGTAGATGATGAGTCATGGGATTAAAACTAAAAAACATGCTTCAATTCTGTGGTATGGTTTTGATGCACAGAAGAAAATAGTTTTGATTTTTAAATTTTTAACAGAAGTGTGAAACTGACATTTTTGTATTTCCTATCCTTCTGTTCTCATTCCCACCCTTAAAAAAATCCTTATTGACCAGTTGTGTGAAATGCTTAAAGTTACAGCGTTGCAGTTACTGATACAAATGGTGTTAACTGGAAATATTAAAGCATTCTAAATGTCTTGCTTATTTCTAATATATTCTTTGGGGTTTAGACATGTTTTATGTCTAAGCGGTAAGTCTTACTATAGTGTGTATTGCTCCTTCAAGACAAGCAATAGAATATGATGCACTTCTGTTTAAAAAAAAATTATTGAGTCTCATTTCTGCTTGAGCCTTTAAAGCAATAGCATGTCACTATAATGTGATAACATGATTTTCATGAAACAAAAAGTGGAAGACTGAAGCCTTTCTGGGTGATTTTGATTTTAGACCAGCTGTGTGATGCAAATGGTTAGTTTGCAATGTGAAGTCTATACTCAGTGGCATAACAAATGTTTGTTTTTATAATATACAGACTTTCCTTGGAGAAACACATTTTCCCTTAAGTTTTCCAATAGCACTTTAAATTTTTCTTTGTTACATGCCACAGTTCTCAACTTTTATATTTTGAAATTTTGTTTTATTGCATCTGTGAAACCAGTGCAGTGAACAAAAAAACCTTACAAGAGTTGGGCATGGTAGTGCACATCTGTAATTCCAGCTACTAAAGGAGGCTGAGGCAGGAGAATCACGAGTTCGAGCCATTCTAGGCAACATAGTGAGACCCCCTCAAAAAAAAAAAAAAAAAAAAAAGCTTATACAAATTAATGTATAAAATGCATTAATATACAAATGTAATGATAATCAGTCTTAGAACTCAAACCCAGTTAACAAACACAATACTGTTTACTTTTGTCATAATTTTTGATTCATTTTTATAATTAATGAGTGAAAGAACCCTCTTTTTCATTCACCATTATATATTTTGAACTTTATATGCCTAGAGTATAAGTTCTTCATAAGTTAAATGAATGAACCCTAAACATTAAGATATAAAACAAGTGAGGTGTAAATATTGAGACAAAATGATCAGATTTAAGTGTTATTGATCTAAACACAATCCAAAGTGACATTCCCAATGTATATCTTGTTATAGGAATTTAGTTAATAATAAGGCATCACATATGGAAAAGAAAGTGTATTCAGGCAGATAGTGTAGAATAACTGGTTAGATGTCTACCCTGTGCCATATTAAAAATTTCATGTGAACTACAAGAAATTCAGACTACAAAATAGAGTTAAAAACCTTTGTATCGGGAAAAAGGTTCAAGTTAAGCTCTGTGGACTGAAATCACAAAGATAACAATTAACAGATTTGATTAAAAGGGATTAATTGCCTGTAGAGAAAGAGTGAAAAGTAAACAACATTACTATGATCACAGTTGGTTATTAATGTGTAATTCTTTATATGTGGACATTTAGGAATACTGATAGATGAATGCACAAAGAACAGACTACTCAAAGGGAATTTCAGTGAACAGAAATCTGGGAAATATTTCACTCTGTAATCTCACTTCTGGGAAAGACTTAAATAAATAAACATGTTTGCATTGTTATTTGAAACATTTACTGTGTCTTAATTTTCTAATTTATATTGTATACAAAGAACATTTACAGACCATTCTTCCATTATTATTGTTTCATTTAGTCAAACAGCTTCTTGGTCATAGCCATCCTGCTTGCTTTTTTAGAAGTTTTTGATTTTGCTTGATTTGTCAAATTACCATAAGTAGCATTGCTGAATCAGACATAAAAGTGGAAGGAAGATCATATATAATCCCATCATTATTACATACCAACTGTTAATATTCCTATGTTCAGTTACTTATTTCTAGGGATAATTTTGAATGCTTTCTTTAAAAATTATCAAAGTAACATCTATGATTAGAAAATAAAATGTGATAAAAGTTTATAATAAAAAGCAATATTTAGATTGGGGTTGTAGCTTAGTGGTAGAGTTCTTGCTTAGCATGTGTGAGGCATTGGGTTTGAACCTCAGCACCACATAAAAATAAATAAATGGTATTGTGTCCATCTAAAACTAAAAAAAAATAAAGAGGGCAAAACCATCAGGAAAAAAGTATTATTCTGCCTCTTCTTTTCCAAATTGCTCTCCCACAATCAGCCATTCTTGGCTTCTTCTTGTCCTAAGTACATTTTTTTTCCATCTGTCCTGTTTAGACATCTGTTAATGTTTGATAGGTGAAAATTTAAACTCACCTCACTTCAGAAGTATATTTTGACACTCTTTTCCCTCCCAGCTTTTCTTTTTATACCACATCTGTAACTCTATATTTACATTTTTATAGCCATAGTCTCTCTTATATCTACAAGTTGATTATAAAATTGAAACTTAGTAGCCAGTTTTTACATTGTATCTATGTACCTATTGTTCACTGGATTTTACAATTAAAGTCTTAATTTTTTCTTTACGAATAATTTTTTTTATTGATTTTACAATCTCTGTGTCTATAGGGAGAATGATTATAAGGGTCAGGGTCAAATCTTTAAATTTGGACCATACTCTAAGCAATAATTTGTTTACCCTGTAATTTTTCCCCCATAGGAAAATGCCTTTTCCAATATTTTTGCCTTTCTAGGCTCAAAGTTAATTTTCCTTGAAAGATCACAATAAATATTTTTCTTCAATTTTATAATCATGAATAGGCCTTTGTGCTTAAATAGTTTTTCCTAATTTTTCTCTTTTTGGAACTTTTTTGGGATTTCAGAACTGCTGAACTAATCCTATAATATCTTTTAAGTATTTTTTCTTTGTTTATTCTTAGGTTCTGCTAGAATTTTTACTCTTTTCATATTTTTAGCAATTTTGAATATCAGAGCTGTCCCACCCAAAATGTTAAGTAATTAGTGAATATTCTGCTTCTTTAGTACTTCTTTAATTCTTGGAATCTAGCTTAAGAAATCATTGTTTTAATTGAGCATGGATGTTTTTACTATTTGGCATCTGACATCTTAAGCCTTCATAATTTATGTAAGTTACACACACAGGGCTAGCTTTACTCAAATTCAGTACAAATCAAAGAATTTCTTGGTCATAGTCATCCGGATTGCTTTTTTAAAGTTTTTGATTTTGCTTGATTTGTCAATTTTTGTGCCTTTTTCCTCATCCCTTAGAGTCTGCTCATCCCTTGGTATCCTTTTATATATTTAAAATTTCAGGCATAGGTTCAGGTGTGGCTGATAAGGGTTAATTTTTCTTCCTCCAACCCTTTGCAGCCACAAAAGGCCTAAAGTACCTACCGCACCTCAGATGAGGAATACCAAGCATATATGAGGGTTTGGGAGTAGTGTTCATGTAGCAGGGCACTATGTGGGGTAGTGGTTCTGATTTCACTCAGAGTGGATAACCTGCAGACTCTACTGCACCAGACTTTGTTGGGGTCTTGGTGCAAAGAGCAAGAGGTTCTCCTGATTTTATATGAATCAGCATGGATAACATTTCTATAAGCAGTATTAGTTTAAACCCTTTTGCATTTTCCATAACTTCATATTTATGCTATTTGCATAGGTACCTCCAAATTGGTCCCCTTATTTGTGCGAAGTCAGCTTTTAATTGTTTGTGACCCTGATTGTTTTGTGGTGTTGGGGATTTAATTGTGCTTGCTAAAAAGCAGCTCTTAGTGTTGAGCTACACCCTAAGCCCTTGATGATTTTTTGCCCCTCCCCAGGTTTGTTTTAATTTTTGGTGGCTTAATTTTGTACTTTCATCCTTCATTTATTCTCAGTTTTTGTGCAGCCCTTGACTGTACAGAATTATTCCCATATTTCTAATAATGACAAATAATTTTAAAAGCCACCAGAAGAAAAAAGCTTACTGAAAAGCTTTCTCTCTTATTTTGAAACTTGCAACAAACCCTAAAATGTAGGTTTTTCTTTTCTTTTTTTTGGCCATATAATTTTGATAGATAGGAAAATTGCTCTCCTGAAGCATATCATTCTTACTAGTTAGTGCGGGTATAAGAATGGAACTTACGTTGCTTAACTGCTTTTTATTTTATTTTTTATTTTTATTTTTTTGCTTAACTGCTTTATAAATGTATTGAAAACAGGGTACCTATTTACAATTTTGAAATATCTTCGGAAGTCCTTATTAAAACTTCAACTTGCCTGAGGCTGTTAGTACTTTTCTCTCGGGCTTTAGATTCATTCGTCCTGCTCTGAGCCATGCCCTGTGCACCTCTTTTGTGAATATTAGTCCAGAACGCACTTGAGTCGTTTCCCATGGCCATACCCTGAAGGTCCAGCCAGGGAAGAGGCGAGCCTAAGCGGACTAGAAGCTGCGTTCCACTAGGTCCACCGCAGAGTTGTCGGTCTTGCGAAGCTGCTTCCGCCCGCCCGCGTTCCCAGCTCAAGGAGGCGGCGCCCAGGGGCGGCCCGGACCGGGTGGTCCTTCCACTCCCTGGGCTGGCGGCAGGCGCCTTCACCGGGCAGAGTTGAGGTTGGCCCGGCGGGTTCTAGGGGACTGAGTCCAGCATCCCGGAAGGGGCCTGTGCAGCTGGGAACTCGGGCTGGCTTCATCCAGGTGAGTGGCGCTGTGGGGTGAGGCGCAGCTGTTTCGCTGGGCTCTCATTTTAGAATTGCAGTTCCTACTGTTTTTGGATCAAGTAAATTATAGTCCCACGTTTAACATAAAACGATTTGTCAACCTCTCTGAAACTCATTAACAGAGATACCCAACGATTTTGGGGACTGTAGATTGAACCCTTCTCAGGAGATCGTGTCCCGAGGGATCTCAAGTTGGATAGGATAGAGAGTGATAACCTCAGAGTGTAGGAACATTAACACTGGCTGCTGGAAATTGAAATAAGCAAAGGAGGTTTGTTCTTGGGTTTGGGAGCTGGCGACTCAGGTAAATTCCTTAGACCTTTACCTGAATGTTTAGTAGAGCATCTGTCTTTACTTTGTGGAATCCTTTGAAAGATTTTTGTCTCCATCAGTGTTTTCTGGATTTGGAGTCTCCTATTTTTGTGAGATTCTTTTTCGCTATTCAGGAACAACAACAACAGCAACAAAAACTTCATAAGACATGAATTTATCCCAAAGTCTTGGATATATTTATTTTGACTTGATTTTTCTTTTTGATTTCCATGTTGGAGAAATAAAAATCCTCAACAGAAATAAAAACACTTTAATTCAAGAACTTTTATGTGTTGGAGGACAGGGGTGCTGTATAATAAGGTGAACATGATGCTTCATAATAAGGAACTGGTCAGAGTAGACTTTAAACATGTGGTGCCAGCATGTCAGTGATCAGCTTTAGGCCTTGGTTTGCTTATGTGTAAAAGGAAGACAACTGAATGTTTCCCTGAATCTCCCATCTGATGAAGTCACACAATCCATGCTGTCGTATAAAACATTTTTAAAGAAGCAGACCTATGTAAGAATGCAGGATATCATAGCTGACTGCTGGTAAAATTGTGTTTTGATGTTCAGATTTTATTCTGGTTTTGCATTAGTTACTTTAACAATGTTTAATAGAAGTTAATTCTTAAGAAACAAGTCAGTGGTCACAATTCTGGTATAGTGTTTGAATCTGTATTACAAATACAGTTTGTCCTTGGGATATCGCACAGCATGATTGATGCTTCTTAATTGACCATTTTGGCATCTTACTATATACTCATCAAATGTTTCATCGGTCCAGTTCCACAACTGTAGATTTATTCATGACAACCCAGGGATCCTAATCAACTGAGGATACTCCCCAATGTGTTCTTGCCAGTTAAATGTTGCAATGCAAGTTCTGATAGTTTCATCCTTAGATGTTTGTTCTTCAGCTGAGGTATTTCATTGGGTTAGTAGTTATCTGAGAAAATTTGGTTCCAATAATTTATTTCAAATCTATTAATGGAATTGCTCTTGCTGTGTCGCAAAGTAAATACTATCCTTTGGAGTAGAATTTATAGTATATCTGTGCCCAAATAAATAGTTTGCCATAATGAAGATTCTATGAAGAAAATATATTGTGAGAAAGATGCCAATTCTAAAGCTAAGAAGAAACAGACTTCTTATATTTTTTCTTATTGGTATATATAATTCATTAGGAATAAACCTTATTCTTTATGAAATGATTCAAATTGACTAAAGTTCAACTCTATTACTAATTGTGTGATCTTGAGGAGGTTAACTTTATTATTTTTTAATTTGAGATAGAATTTACAGGGGCTGGGAATGTAGCCCAGTGGTAGAAAATTTGCTTAATTAGCTTAAATGAGGCTTTGGGTTCAATCCCCAGCACCACCTCACCACAAAAGAGAAAAGAAAATGAAATAAATTTTACAAATAATGAAAGGCTACAAATCTTAAGTGTACTGCTTAAAGTTTTATCTGTGTATAGTCTGTATAACCATCTCCCAAATAAAGATATGGAAAAATTTTTTATCACCCTAGACAGTTCCCTTCCTTTTACTCCCTTTGTCTGATTTTTTTCCACCATAAATTGAATGTGCCTGTTCTTGAACTTCATATAAATAGAATCATAGACTATGTCCTCTTTTGTGTTTGATTTCTTCTGCTCAACATAATATCTCAGATGATCCGTGTTTGTGTGTCAATAGTTTTATTGTTGTATATTGATCCTTCATTAGAATATACTACCAATTATTTTTCCAGTCTGTTAATGGGAATTTGGATTGTTTCCAGTTGACTATTATGAATAAAGCTGTTATGGATATTCTTGTGCAAGCCTTGGTTAACTTAAGCACTTAATTCTCTTGCATATATCTAGGAGTGGAATTGATCATAAAGTGCAATATTTTAACTTTATTTGAAATAGCTGAGGAGTTTTCCAAAATGGGAGTGACATTTAATATAGCCGCCAGGATAATAAAATGGTTTCACTTGTTCCACACCTCACCATTGCTTGCTATTGCCAGTGTTGTTAATTCTAGCCATGTGCTGTGGTTTTAATTTATATTTCCCTGATGATTGGTGATATTAGGCACCTTTTCATATATGTATTGACTTTTTCTTCACCTGTTTACATGTTTGTGTAGTCACAGTCTTGCACACAATAAAGCTGGGAGTAGTAAAAGGATGGCGGGGTAGAGAAAAGATAAAATCAAAAGATGGGGTGTTGCTGCCCAGTGATTATCTGAGACTTGTGAAAATGGCTTGTTGTTTGGCCAAATTTCAGTCCTTTGGGTCACTATTTGTATCTTCAGGGTGATGCTTGCTGCATCCCCAAACTTTCGTAGCCTAACAAAATAGAGGTATATTTTTTGCTCACCTAATTGTCCCACAAGGGTATTCTGGTAGATGAGTGACCTCCTTAGTGGTTATTTGGGAATCCAACTCCCTTCCATCCTGTGGCTCTGCAATCTTGATATATGGCTTCTAAGGTCTTTTTTCATTAACCTAGAGAAAGGGAAAGAGTAGGAGTGGGTGGGAGAGTTGGACTTATGAAAGTTTTTATGACTTAGGCAAGGTAATGGCAAATATGTTTTACATTCACTGTTGAGAACTTGGTCACATAAGGGAAGCTGGAAAATGTAGCCTTATCTGTGTGCCCAGGAATCTGGGAGTCAGCTGACACACTCTGCCAATGCTGAGGAAATGGGATGTTTTCTAGGACCCTTAAGTGATTTCTGTACTCGATGGAGTCTTTATCTGCTTCAGATAGCAAGGAATCTGTGTAGATTGCTGAGAGAATCTTAAATAGGACACTTTCTTCTCATGCTGTTAACTACCTGAATATACAATAAGAATCGGAGTGACCATAGAAGTACAAGTAATGATAACTTAATAAATTAATTCCACGATGGCTTAAAATTCTTGGGTGAAAGCTTTTCTTAGAATAGTTTTTATCTGATATCTGCTTATGAAATAAACAGTTTAAGGTAACAAAATTACTTGTCTTTCATTCATATTCTAGTAAGTTTTGCAACTTTCTAAAATCTTTGTTTTTAATGACTTCACTTATTAGACAACTTCTTATAAGACTATCCATGGAAAAATGCAAAGCTATTTCTTTGACACCTTTCCATTGAGCTACTGAGATATTATTTATATATTGGAGTTGCCAAGTTGGGATATTGTTATTTTGTGATTAAAATCCTCTATCAATAAGAATCCTTTAAACCCTGTGCCAGCAATCTTTCTAGAAGGAAGAAAGAGCTTCACCATTTCAGATGTCTTATAATTAAGTGGCCCTATATTGTTTACATTTTTCCTAGGCAAATCATTGTTTTAGGGCAGGTCAATAGAATTACAATGTGAGTCACATATGTAATCAAATATACCAAGTATTGCCATTTAAATATGTAATCAATCTAATAATTATTGAGATATTTGACATTTTTATGTTAAATCTTTGAAATTTGGTGCATATTTTACATTTATACCTCAATTTGGATGTTAAGTTTTCATTAGATATACTTGATCTGCATTTAGATTTTATAAAATGTACAGTTATAAAATAGATTCACAAGTTGTTCTAAATATGCTTAAAAGTTTTCCAATAGCTTAATCAAGTCCATTTTAAAATTTAGATTAAATAAAATTAAAATTCACATCTATAATCCCAGAAATTTAGGAGGCTGAGGCAGAAGGATCACAAATTCAAGACCAGATTCAGCAACTTAGTGAGACCTTGTCTCATAAAAAATAAGAAGGACTGGGGATATAACTGGGTTCAGTCCTCTGTACATGTACAAAAAAAAAAAAAGTGTGAAGTGCACAGTAGCCACATGTGGCTAGTCAGTACCATGTTGACAATGCAATTCAAGAGTGTGAGTTTACAATGGCTAAACTGTGGAGCCAACCTAGATGTCCTTCAGTGGATGAATGGATAAAAAAATGTGGCATTTATGCACAATGGAATATTACTAAGCACTAAAAAAGAATAAGATCATGGCATTTGCAGGGAAATGGATGGCATTAGGGAAGATCATGCTAAGTGAAGTCAGACAATCCCCCCAAAAAATAAATGCCGAATGTTTTCTCTGATATAAGGGGGGTTACTCAAAGTGGGGTAGGGAGGGGAGAGCATTGGAGGAAGATTACCTCTAGATAGAGAATAGGAGTGGGAGGAGGGTAAGGGAGAGGGGGGAAGGGGAATAGCAAGGATGGTGGAAGGTGATGGTTATCATTATACAAAACACATGTATGAAGATGTGAAAAAAATAAACTCATATTTTTGTAACAACAACAAAAAAGTGTAGGTGAGTTTAAACTGTGAGCTCCAGGAAGCAGGGACTTCTGCCTGGTGTTAATAAAGTGCTCAAAAAACATTTGTGGGTTGAAAATATTGCTAAAGTTAGTATTTTGGGGTGGTGGTGCTGGGGATTAGAACCCAGGATCTGGTGCATGCAAGGCAAGCACTCTACCAACTGAGCTATATCCCCAGCCCTGCTAATTTATTTTTTGTTGTTGTTGATGGACTTTTATTTTTTAAACTTGTATGTGGTGTTGAGAATCAAATACAGTGCCTCACACATGCTAAGCAAGCACTCTACCACTGAGCCACAACCCCAGCCTGCTAAAGCTATTTTTAAATGTTTAAAATTGTCAGCATTGAAGGAA